GATGCACAGCACCTCGCACATAGTGGTAACTCAAAGTATGGAAGCCCCCCCCCCCACCCCGCGTCCTCTTGTCCACACCTGCTTGTTGTTTGGAACTCACTGGGCACCTGTGTCTGTAGGAGGAGCCCTGGCCCCAGCTCCCTGGCAGTCACGGCGGTGAAACGCCCAGACCTCATCTTTCGGAAGTCTCAAGTTGGCCAAGGAAGGACAAAAAGAACCCAGGAAGGGATAGGTGGTGGAGGTGGCATTTGGGCTGTGGTTCTTCGACTTTGGTGTGCGTCAGAAAAACCCAAAGGAATCGCTCAAAGTGCAGGCTCTTGGACCTCATCCCTCAGTGACTCTGATTCAGCAAATCCAGGGCAGGGCCTGGATGCAGGTTTTCCTGAAGCTCAGCTGGGAGACTTGCGGGCAGCACTGACCGGAGATTTGGCCTCAAAGATTAAGGAGAAGAGGCGAGCAAGTGGGTGGGCCATGTGTTGGGCCTCAGAGCAAGGGCTGCTGGGCCTTCTCTCCTTCTTCCCACTTCCACCACCTGCTGCCCATCCTGCCTCCCCTCCCCTCTCGGGGCCCAGCTCCAAGCCCACCCCTGCCCACAAGCTCTGTCAAAACTCACCACCCTTCACAGGTGGCTCTACTGATTGGGCCACATGGCTTTGGTTCCATGGCGCTCCCTTCTTGCTTCCTGTTAGTCCTTGTCCTGGATTCAGGGTGGGGCTGGGAGACCATGCCCAGGTATTTGCTTCCTTCCTTACCTCCTCCACCCCGCAGCCCCTCACTCCAGCTGCCCCCACGTCCAGTTATCAAGCACGTATTAATGCCAGACCCTCAGGCAGCAAGGTACCGGGCACATGGGCCTACAGGAGAGACAGAGACAGGCCTGGCTCAGGGGCCTGGGGGCCTGTTAGAAGTGCAGAAGCTCAGGCCTCACCCAGGTCTACTGAGCCACAATCTGCACATAAACCAGATTCCTGGGAAATTCACACCAACATTTGGGAAGCAGTTGTTCTATAGGGTTTTTAATAAGTGCCACATGGCGGCATGGTCGGCAGAGTAATGCCCCCCAATGACATCTACGTCATATTCCCCCGAGCCTGTGAATATGTCACCTTTTGTGGCAAAGGGAAATTAAATAGCAGATAGAATCAAGCTTGCCAATCAGCTGACCTTTAAATAAGGAGACTGTCCTGGGTTATCTGGGTGGACCTGGTACGATCACAGAGGTCTTTAGAAGTGGAGGAGTTGGGCAGCAGATCAGAGTCAGAGGAGATGTGAGGCTGGAAGTAGAGGCCAGAGTCACACAGTGTGACAGGGACTCAACCCATCACTGCTGTATTGGGAGTTGAAGGGGGCTGAAAGCCAAGGAATGTTGGAAGCCTCTAGAAGCTGGAGAAAGGAAGGAAACCGATTTTCCCCTAGAACTTCCAGAAGGAACGCAGACCTGCCAACACTTTGATTTCAGCCCAGGGACACCAATGTCAGACTTCTGACCACTAGACTACAAGACAAGGAGTCTGTGTTGTCCTTACACTAGGTTGGTGGCAACTTGCTCCAGCAGCAACATGAAACTCATACCATGGTCAAGAGTCTTTGGAGTCAAACAGCTCTGCTCTTTCCCAGTGAGGGGACCCCGGGCAGGTTCCTAGCACTCTTGAGTCTCCATTTCCCTATACCTAGAAGACGGGCATAACCGTGCCTCACACGGTGGGTGCAAAAGTTAAAACAGGAAGCATCTGAAAGGTGCTCATACCAGTGCTAAGCTCATGCTCCCCAAATGGCAATGACTACATTCCTTGATCCTAAGTGGTTCCCACCTCTTCCCTGACTCCACCAGGGCTGTGGTGCCAGGCGCTCTGGGAGGTTCTCTGCTGGTTCTTTTCTTGGTCCTTGAAGCCGCCTTGACTTCACACGTGGCCATCTTTGAACCTGCAGCAACATGGCACCTTGCATGGGCTCCTCCGACGTAAGCCTATGCCAACGAAGAAGGCCTGAGGAAGGCCAAGGCTGGCCTTCAAGACACAAGTCAGGAAGGTCCCTGCCGTCAAAGATGACTCATGATAAGATACTTCTTGTGCTTGTTAGAGCCCTTGGGCAGCCTCCGAGGTCTTTACCCCAACTAGCCCCAAACTGGTAGAGTAGCCATGGGAATGAGGTAGCGCACCATAGTAAACACCTCACAGGGCCTGCCCTTCCTTTACTCTTTCTAGGGTAAATCACTGTATCCTGACTAATGCCAAGAACCTACTAGGTGCTGGACACTTGTGGGACCTCATCTCCTTTGGTTCTCATAGAAGGCCCTTGGTCAGCAGCTGTGCCATCTCTCAAGGTCACATAGCCATAGCCAGACAGTGCCATTGGACCTGTGCAGTCTGGCCCAGAGCCTGTGCTCTTATCCTTCATCCCGTGCCCTTGGGTTTGCTGCCATGTACTGGAGGTCTTGCATGGGGCCACCAGCCCAGGGCGGACTCCACAGTCCTCCATCTGATTTTCAGGTTGCCTGGACTTGTAGGAGCAAGTGGGTGCCCAAGAGCCTTGTGGCCTATTGTCCTGTGGCTCAGAAAAGTCCACTAGCCCTTCAGAACCAGGGTCCTCGAAGTAGAGGTCTATGCTGGGGGCAGACAGGGATCCCCAGGGCTCAGTCTGACATTCTGGGGGTTTCCATTCTACTAGGGGCCCCACAGTGCTTCCTGGCTGTTGTTTTGGAGGGCTGAGAGAGGGACAGGTGGCAGGCCTGGCACTGCTTTGGCCTTATGTCTTTTCCGGATGGAAGGAGCCACCAAGGTGGACCCTGGCAGCCCCTGTGAGGTCACCGTGCCTCCAGAGCTCAGGCAACCTTGCCTTTCACTTAATTCCCTGCTCTGCTCAGTGGCAGCTGCAAGATATTGCCACTCTGGGCTTGAGGACAGGAAGTGTGAACGGGGGTGGGAGGTGGGGAGGCAGGCCAGGGGCCTCTCTTGAGGCCATGTTTTTATTACAAACTCATTACTTTGTACTTAGTTGTAGGTCTATTTCGTGAGGTTTGGGGGAGTCGAAGTCATGGGGTCCCAAGGACCCCTCAGGCCGCTGCTCCATGCCTGGTGTCATTATAGTTCCTAGTCCTTCTTTCTTGTTTTAGGTTAAAGAGAAAATTTTGGCACCAAAGTAGAGCACAGCATGGGCTCCTTTTTTCTCTTATTGAGTGGGTGTCTTAGAGGATGTGGGCTCAGCTGATTTGAGTTGATCTAGAGTAAGCACCAGCCCTCCACCTGCAGTCCCAAACTCCTCCAGGGAGGAAGAGGGGCTCTCCGGCCCTGCAGAGAGGAAGGCTCGCCACTCCAGGTGAGATGCAGTCCATATCGCTTGCAGAGGGGAGCAGCTCCTAGGGCGGGGGTCCTGGGGGGCGGAGGGTGTGCATTGTGGTCAGTGGTTCCTGCGGGTGTGGCCAGTCTGTGCCTGTGTGTCCTGTTAGGCTGGACCACCCCATAGAGACAGCTAGAGGCATCCGCCGGTCGCCAGACACTCACTAGTAAGTTGACCGGGAACTCGTCACCCACCGGTTCCTTCCTGCGACAGGAGGGAATGCCAGCCACCTTCCACGGCTGGGGAGCATGTGCGTCTACACACGCACTAGCACGCCATCATGAGGTGCAGCCTTGTAGCAGCTGACATAGAAGCATTTGCTTGGAGGGCCCAGGCCCCACAGAAGGGGATTTTTTTTTCCTGAGACCCCTACCGATATAGTCCCCCCGAAAGACTAGAGTGACCCACCCTCCGGAGAGGGTGAGTCCCACAGATCACCCACTGGGGCGAGCACCTGCACTTGCTTGGGGACTCCCATGACTGGCGGATGTTGGCTCTCTGGCTCTGGCAGTCCTCCCCTGAGTAGCTTCCGAGGAGATGGTGTCCAAGGGAGGAAGCTCTGCCAACCTAGCATGGTGCCGGAAGTCAGCAGCACGTTTCGAAAACGGCAGCTCTATCCTTTAGCTTAAGGCCCCGGCCTAGGGCCTTTGCCCCCATGTGTCTGACTTCCCCTGCTCATAAAACGAGGGGCCTGAGCTGGGGAACCTCCAGGGGTCCTTTCGATTCAGCTGCACCGAGAAAGTTCTATACGTGGTCCTGAGAGATGGAGGACCCCACGAGGCCTGAGCCCTGCTGGCTCCCTGCTCTGGGCCACGCTGCTTCCAAACACTGACGCTTGCCTGATTTCTAGCCCAGAACCTTCCTCCGGGCCCCTGGCTCTGCTGGCCTGCAGAACAGGATCTAGCTTGCCTCCCCACCACATCGAGTGCTCCTCCACCTGGCTGCCCGCTGGAGTTGTCCCGAGACCTTTTAAAAACATTGGTGCTCGCACCTGGCCTCCAGAAAGTGTGATTTAATTCCTGTGAGGTAGGGCCTGGGCAGCGGATTCGTCTGTGTAAGCTCCCCAGGTATTTTCTCAGGTGAGGTGTGACCCACTGACCCACATGTTGGTTCTCCGCGGCGGAACCAGTCTGGGGACAGGAGTGTAAATCATCTTCCCCTGCCCTTGCCCGTGGCCCGGCCTTGCTGCCGGTGTCCACAGTAGATTCCAGCTGCCTGAACGGCTCAAGCAAGGACCCCCGGGGGGGCAGGGGTTCAACATCCCACAGCCCCTCTGCTGGTGTCCTGTGGGTGTTCAAGGTGGTCTGGTGGGTGGGCTCCTCCAGCATCCCCCCTCCCCACTCCCCGGGCCTCCTGCCCCTGACTCAGGCTTCCCCATCCGCTGAGGGGTCGCCCTGCCCCCCCCCCCCCCGTGGGAGGAGGATGCGTGGAAGGAGCACTCCCCAGCTCCCGTCCCTGGCTGGGGAGTGTTCCTCGGCAACCGCCCAGCCTGATACCGGATCGGAGTTCACATGATTCTCCCTCGGCTCCAACGGGCAGCCTCCAGCTGGGGTTTTCTAAGCCCGGGCTGGGAGGTGTGGTCTATGGAAAATCTCCGAGGGGAAGCCCGGGGCCGGCTGCAGGGCGTCCGCCAGTCCCCGCAAGGTGGGTCCAGTCTCCTCCCCCAGGCCTCCCGGAGCGGCTTCGGGGAGCCCGGCTGTTGGAGGTTTGAGGGCAGAGCCGGGTGGACAGAGAAGCCGCAGGTCCGTAGGGCTGCGCTCCCTGCCTGCTCCTCCCGGCCGCCCTCCTGGGGTCTGCAGGCTAAGCAGGCGGGGCATCGTGCCAGCTGTGTTCAGACGGAGGAGCATGACTCATGAATGGGTCGACAAACCCATTTAGTAGCTAACGATCCGCGTTTTAGAAAACCTAATAGCGATGATCCGGGTGCCCGGCAAGTAGCAGGGTGAGTACTGCTCCGGGGAAGTTGGTTTCTCGGGCCGCTCCGGCCGCGTGCTTGCTTGTGCACCCTGCCTGTGCGTGCTCGGTTACAACGTCAGGTGGGTTCTGACGGTGGCTTGTGGTCACAAGAGCTGAAAAGGGAACCAACTCGTGCTGTGGTGCCAGGTTCGGGATTCGGATCCACCCAGCTTACTGTGGGAACCTGAGCCACCAGGTTCTGCGCAAGGAACGGCAGTGCCAGCCCCACTGGCTTCGGGGCCACCCACCTTGGAGGCAGTTACGAGGGTTGTAAAGGTGACACTGTCTCCCTGCCATTGTTGCTGGAGGGAGGATATTTATTTGGGAGCAAGGTGGGGGAAGGAGGGCTGTCCCAGAGGGAGGTAAATGTGAGGCTCCAACCGCGTGCGTGGGGAAGGGCGCCGAGGGGCAGGGAAGCTGGGCCTGCAGGAAACCCCGGGCTCGTGGGTAAGTGCGTGCGAGCGGCCCTCAGAACAGACGCGGGGATGAGATCACCGTCTACACGGCCGCTCAGTGCCAGCGGCAGGCGCCTCCGCCCTCTGGCAGGAACGCAGGACACTGGCCTGGTGTCCAGGGGGCGCTTCCTTCCTGCCGGGACTGATCTCTGGTGGTGGTTAGAGTCCCAGGAGATGGTGCTGAGGCGCGTCTGTATCCAGATTCACTTTTAGGTGTTGGGCTGTCTTGCATATACAGCCTTCCAGCTTCTCAGCCGGATGATGAGGCTCGGGGTGGGGGTGGGGGACACAGGGGCCCTCGTGTCGGTTCTCTGCCCCGACCCCCACTGCTTGGGCATCTGCAGGACCCGGTGCACACAGGGTTCTGCTGGCGGAGAGGCCAGCGCAGGCCTCAGCCCAGGGCACTCGTGGGGCATCTGAGGACTGGGGCTCGGAGAAGCCCCAAGGTGGACGGTGACACGCTCAGTGGTAATCGTGACAGACGGAACGAGAACGTGACGCGGAAGAGAGCCTGGGCCCATCTGAGTTCAAAACCTGGCCTGCTCCATCATGACTTGAGTCCTATGCAGGTCAGTTCACCTGTCTGAGCCTCAGTTTCCTTGTCTGTAAAATGAGCCCCAGTGAGAGTGGTGTGGAAAGAACGTGTGCACACAAGTGCCCCCGGCCGGCGGAGGGCTCTCTGCTGATGTGGCTTGGCTCTGCCATTCTGTCTGGGTTTTCCCATTTACATATCACTTCTGCACCCACTGTGTCCCCTGATTTATGAGGAGCAGGTTTCCTATGGGGACCAGGTTGAGAAAGGACACCCCTGGCAAGGCATAGTTTCCACCCGGGGGTACCTTGGGAAGCAGTAGAAGCGGAGGCTGACTGTGATGATAAGACCTGGGTGATCTGGGGATCCCTGGGTGGCTCAGCGGTTTAGCATCTGCCTTTGGCCCAGGGTATGATCCTGGAGACCCAGGATCGAGTCCCACATGGAGCCTGCTTCTCCCTCTGCCTGTGTCTCTGCCTCTCTCTCTCTCTCTCTCTCTCTCTCTCTCTCTCTCTCTCTGTGTGTGTCTCTCATGAATGAATAAATAAAATCTTAAAGAAAAAAAAAAAGACCCGGGTGATCAAGCTGGAGTCTCTGACCACCTCCGGAGGCCAGAGCAGGTGCCAGGCTGCTGGAGGGGAGGCCACAATGAATCTTCCTTCTTACTTTTCTATTAATGATATGCCTGCTGTCCCAGCACCCAACCTCAAAGCCACCCATCCAGCTACTCACCCATTCATCCATCTGTCTGTCCATTCAGTCACTCATCTATCCATCTACCCCCTCATCCACCTGCCCCTCCGTCTTTCCACCCACCCGCCTGCCTACTTGTCCACCTCTCCATCCACCTATAAATAATTTTTGAGGCCTCAGGATCAAGTGCTGAGGAGCATCTCAGATTTGTCCCTGACTGGGCTCCCCAACCCTACCTCCCTTCTAAATAGTAGTCAGTTTCTCCAGCTTCTTGTCTCCTCTCTGGCCCTGCTTCCTCCTACCTAAACCCTGTCATGCCAAGCTACTCTACCTAGACCCTGTCATGCCAAGCTACTCTCGGTTCTCCAAGAGTGCCAATTACCTCTCTCATATTCAGCCTGTTGCACACATTGTTTCCACAGACAGAAACCCCCCTCTGCTTGGGCAGCCCTTCCCCCTTCTTCTGTCTTAGCCTAACTGGCTGCTCAGGAAGGCTTTTCTGGCTGGGTCAGGGTACCTCTTATGAACTCCCTTAAAATCACATGCTCTCCACAGGAGCTGGTTTCACCTGTCTTCACCACTGTCCCAGGAGAGGAAAAGAAACTTGAGTTACACTAAGTGACTGTCTAGCGCAATGGCTTCCGTGCAACAGATACTCAATAAGTATCTGTTGTGTGAATGGATAAGTGAATGAATAAATGGGTGGATGGATGGATGGATGGTTGGGTGGATGGATGGATGGATGGGTGGATGGAAGGTTGGAGAGCCTTTGAAGGATTTGAAGTAGGAATGATTACATTAGATTTGCATTTTAGAGGATGGCTTAAAGGGCGGTAAGAGGGAGCCAGAAAGTCCAATAGGAGGACATTGTACTGATTCTGAGGATGAATTCCTGACCAAGCCAATCTAGAGCATTGGTGAGGGAACAGAAGAGGAGGAGACTGTTGGGGAAAAATTTAGGAATTGAGAATGCTAGAACTGAGTAATTAATTGGATGCTTTGGATGAAGATGAGGAAAGAAGCCAAAAGCCATTCAACTAGGCAGGTAGAGATGCCCTTTCTGAGAGCAGATTAGTGCAGAAAATGATGGGAGTTGGGGGGGGTGGTGCTCACTGAGCAGGTCCAGTGAGGCAGCAGGATGCTAGTTGTGTCCACTATCCACCTGCTGGGAGTCATCAGAGTACAGATGGGGTTGAAACCACAGGGGCATGCTGTCCCACAGAGGATGTGTGTGGAATGAAAAGTACAAGCCAACATTAAATGTGAGTGTGAGGGATGCTCACAGCACCACTGTACCCTGTCTCAGGTGATAGCTCCTGTTCTATGAGATTGGAGGCTACCTGAGGGTGGGAGAAACAGAGAAACTGGACTCTTGGGCAAGCCACCCCATCTCTCTGGGCCTTGGTTTCCTCATCCCTAAAATGGGGGAAAGAACAGGGCTGTTGGGAAGACAGGGGAGGGCAGACATGAAATGCTCTGTAAACCATAAAAGATTTGGCAAATATGAGGCATAAGTACCCTGACAGTTCTGGTCACTATTTCTCGAGAGACTGAAGCAGGTTACTGACCTTCCATGGGCTGTATCCTGGCTCTGCCCACAAGGTTCTGCTAGGTTTTCAACTTCCCTCTCAGGCACCTCTGCTCCCCAGCTTGGGAATGCATGTTATCTGGACACTTACCCTGCCCCTTACCAGGAGCCAAATCGCTGGCCTTCTGGACCTCCGAGAGCCTTGCTGCTCAGAATGCGCTCCGTGGGCCAGCTGCCCCGACGCCACTAGGAGCGTGAGGCAAACTCCCCAGCTCCACCCCAGACCCACTGACTTGGAAACTCTAAAGGTGAGGCTCAATAATCTGTTTTAAACAAATCTTCCAGGTGACTCAGAAGCACCCAAGTTCGAAAACCATTGCTGTGGAACACCCAAATCCTCTTTTCTTGCTACAAGCAAACGTAGGAGGTGCTTTAATCTAAACATAGTAAATGTTTCTTCTTGGCCCTGCAGGCTTGACTATTTTTGACTTTGGTTGCCCAAATTTGATTATTGCTGGCCTAGGAAAGAGGAAGGGACAAGCTGTTGCCCTGGCACCCAACCCCCACGTTCCGTGGTGCCCCCCCCCCCCCCCCCCCCCCCCCCCCCCCGCCCCGCGCCAAGTACACTCACCGCTAGTAAACAATAGGCTTCAGCCTGGTGACTTTCAGTGAATTCCTAAGACCTGAGAGCACCTGTTCCTCCCCCCCCCCCCCCCCCGCAATGGCTCCCTTCGCCCTGTTTTGTTAGCACCTGGGGGTCTGTGCTGATGAATGATCTTTTCTTCTTCTTCTTTTTTTAAGATTTTATTTATTTATTCATGAGAGACACACACACACAGAGAGGCAGAGACACAGGCAGAGGGAGAAGCAGGCTCCATGCAGGGAGCCCAATGTGAGACTCAATCCTGGGTCTCCAGGATCACACCCTGGGCGGAAGTCAGGTGCTAAACCACTGAGCCACCCAGGGATCCCCTGAATCTTATCTTCTTGCAGGTGGACTTTATCTGGACTGCAGAGCACCTGAGGTAAATGCAGAGATGGGCGCTGTCCTGGGCAGGTGCTCCTGGGGACTGTTGGGGACCTGTGTGGGCATCTACTTCCTCGTATGGAAGCCAGCTGGCTGTTTGGCCCCACAGGGTTGGGCTTGGGAGGCAGGGATAGGAGGGCTGGTGAGTGGAAGGTGAGTGCAGCTGAAGTTTGATGCGCTGGGCTGCTTGCAGAGTTTTGGGGTTGTGGGGCTCAGCCACCCCCTTTCCCTTCCTCTCACCATGAAAACATATAAGCAAACCCAAAAAGTAAAAAACCAAAAAACAAAAAACAAGAAAATGCCCTTGTGCGCTGTTGATGGGAATGTAAAATGGTGCAGCTGCTGTGGAAAACAGAATAGCAGTTCCTCAAAAAATTAAAAATAGAACTACCATATGATCCAGTTATTCCACTTCTGGGTATCTACCCAAAAGAACTGAAAGCAGGGACGCAAATAGATACCAACCTTCCATGTCCATAGCAGCATTATTCACAATAGCCAATAAGTAGGGTAGAAACAACTCGAGTGTCCATCGACTAATGAATGGAAAAACAAAATATGGTAAATACTTGCAATAGAATCTTATTGAGCCTTAGAAAGGAAGGAACTTCTGTGATATGTTGCAACATGAATGAATCTCGAGGACATTTCTTCGCTAAGTGGAATAAGCCTGTCACAAAAAGACGAGCCCGGAACTGTTTCCCTTATACAAGGTCCCTAGAATAGTCAGATTCCCAGAAATGGAGAGTTGAGTGGTGGGTGCCAGGAACTGGGGAGCAGAGGAGGATGGGGGACTTAGTGTTTAAAGGGACGGAGTTTCAGTTTGGGAAGAAGGGAGTGTCCTGGAGGCGGCTAGTAGTGCACGCACGTTGCACAAGTATGAAGGTCCTTTGCATTGCTGACCAGGGCACCTAAAAATGATTAATGTGGTGAATTTTATGTTATATAGATTTAACCACAATTAAGAACAAGAAGAAGCACTCCCCCCCACCACCATCACTGAGACCCCAGGCTGTGTCCTGGGGAGGATGGAGAGCTGAGCCCCACCGGGAGGCCTCTACTTCTTGAGGCTGAGAGGTTGGGAGTGAGTCTCAGGTGGGGGGACTGGCTGGCAGGGGGCAGGGGGGGATTGGACCTGGAGCAAGGAAACCTGGTTTCTTTCTTTTTTCTCTTAAAGATTTTATTTATTCATGAGACACACAGAGAAAGAGGCAGAGACACAGGCAGAGGGATAAGCAGGCTCCTTGTGGGGAGCCCGATGCGGGACTCGATCCCAGGACCCCAGGATCACTCCCTGAGCCAGAGGCAGACGCTCAACCGCTGAGCCACCCGGGAGCCCCGGGCCTGATTTCTAATGCATATGCTTCCTCCCTCAGTCTGGCTCTGGGCAACCTTGGTTTCCTCACCTGTCAAATGGGGAAGTGGCAATCACTCATTCATTCCAGAAGTGTTTGAGGGTACCCGTGAAGAGCCAGGCACTGTTGGAGGCACATGTGGCCTCGGCCTCTTGGAATTCAGAATTTGCGACCATGGAGACTGTACATTCTGAAGGCAGGGGGGTGAAGTTGGTTTGTGGGTGGGGTGAGGAGAATCTTAGCTATTACAATGATGTGTCACCCTTCAAAGGGCCACAGCACGTAAACAGGTGTGTCGTGTGTCTAGGGCATTAAAATTTCATGGAAAGGAGGCGGTCAGGGGGAGCAAAGTGTTTAATGTGGCCTGCTGGGAGGATGATTCTTAAATAGAAAAATTGAAAAGTCCTGATTTAGATGCAGTGATTTTTCAGTGGAGCCAGAAGGTTCAATCAATAGAGTAGTTTAGGGGGTGCCTGGGTGGCTCAGGCGGTTAGGCAGCTGCCTTGAGCTAAGGTCATGATCCCGGGGTCCTGGAGTTGAGCCCTTGGTCAGGCTCCCTGCTCAGCAGGGAGTCTGCTTCTCCCTCTGCCCCTGCCCCTGCTCATGCACACTCTCTCTCTCTCTCTCTCTCTTGCTTGCTCGCTCTCATAAATAAATAAAAATCTTTAAAAAAAATAGCTTAGGGCTTTCGTTTTGATAGATTAATTTCTAATGAGGGCTTACAACAGAAATCTTTATTTTGTCTTGTTCGGACGTACCTGTATACATAGCAGGCGCCTTCTCTTTGTTAAATTCTTGACAACGCGAACTTCTCACGAGTGTAAGACCACCGTCTTTTCCCCTGCCTCTTTGCCTCTAGCTAAAGACAATGCTGTAACTTTGGCATCCATCCTTTTACGGGGCCCTGACACTGACCCAAGGGCAGGTGTTTCCACGCCCACATCACAGATGAGGATGTGGGTGCTCAGAGAGGGGGAACCATGTGCACAGCCTGGACAGGGCTCACCCCGGCCGGGTGCTCGTGTCTGAGGACCTCGCCTTGGGTCCTCAATTCAATGGACAGGTTGTGAGGCGGCACCGCCTGAGGAGCGCCCCGGAATCGAGGCAATGCCCCATGGGAAGCACGGTCTTTGTGTCTTGCCAGAGCACCACAGGACAAGGCAAGGTTGGGCCTCTTTGGGGCTGTCTGGAAAGGCCCCCAGAAGGATCTGTGGCCTCAGTGTTCCTGGGAGCAAGTAGGAAAAATGTGAATGATGCCTAGTGCGCTGGTAGGGAGAGTGGCTGGGGCCCTCACTGTGTGTGTGGCTTGCGATTGATCTTTACCTGGGGCGTCGCGTGGAGAGAGGGGGCCCGGGAGGAGTTTGTGCTCCCAAGAGCTCCCAGCCTTGCTCGCTGCCCTGAGATACCAGGGGAAATGAATAAGGGATGGGGAGCTGGGGAAGAGGGTTAGGGAGGCAAAAACCACGGTTGAGTGTCTTAGTGTGTGACCAAGACCGTGAACCGGACAGTCTAGCTGGGTTGGCGTTGGTCCATCTTCTCAATTAAGGGAGACCCTGAGAACAGCACCTGACATACAGCAGGTACTACATAATGGTAGCTGCCCTTATGTATCCTGAGCCTCCCCTGCCTTTACCTTTCAGGGGCTGGTCACCCACCGCCGAGGAGGCCCAGCCTTTGCCCAGCTCCAGCCACAGCCTCTGAACACGATGGAGGTCGAGCCCCGGGCCGGTCCCTGAGCCCCTGAGCGGGGAGGCCCCCGAGGCCCGAAGATGGGGAACTCCACCGCCGAGAACAACTCCCTGTGCACCATCGACCACACCATCCACCAGACGCTGGCCCCGGTGGTCTACGTGGCGGTGCTGGTGGTGGGCTTCCCGGCCAACTGCCTGTCGCTCTACTTCGGCTACCTGCAGATCAAGGCCCGGAACGAGCTGGGCGTGTACCTGTGCAACCTGACGCTGGCCGACCTCTTCTACATCTGCTCGCTCCCCTTCTGGCTGCAGTACGTGCTGCAGCACGACCACTGGTCGCACGGGGACCTGTCCTGCCAGGTGTGCGGCATCCTCCTCTACGAGAACATCTACATCAGCGTGGGCTTCCTCTGCTGCATCTCCATCGATCGCTACCTGGCCGTGGCGCACCCGTTCCGCTTCCACCAGTTCCGCACCCTCAAGGCGGCCGCGGGCGTGAGCGCGCTCATCTGGGTCAAGGAGCTGCTGACCAGCGTGTACTTCCTGATGCACAAGGAGGTGGTGGAGGACGAGGACCGGCACCGCGTCTGCTTCGAGCACTACCCGCTGGAGCCCTGGCAGCGCGGCATCAACTACTACCGCTTCCTGGTGGGCTTCCTGTTCCCGCTGGGCCTGCTGCTGGCCGCCTACCGCGGCATCCTGCGCGCCGTGCGCCGCAGCCACGGCACCCAGAAGAGCCGCAAGGACCAGATCCAGCGGCTGGTGCTCAGCACCGTGGTCATCTTCCTGGCCTGCTTCCTGCCCTACCACGCGCTGCTGCTCGTGCGCAGCCTCTGGGAGGCCAGCTGCCAGTTCGCCAGGGCCGTCTTCAACGCCTACCACTTCTCCCTGCTTCTCACCAGCTTCAACTGCGTGGCCGACCCCGTGCTCTACTGCTTCGTCAGCGAGTCCACGCACCGGGACCTGGGCCGCCTCCGCGGGGCCTGCCTGGCCTTCCTCAGCTGCGCCGGGCCCGGCCGGGCCGGGGAGGCCTACCCGCTGGGCGCCCCCGACGCCTCCGGGAAGAGCGATGAGCCCGAGCTGCTGGCCAGGCTCCACTCGACCTTCCAGACCCCGAACTCGCCCGGAGTCGGGGGGTCCCCCGTGGGCGGCTTGGCCTAGCCGGGGGGTGGCCCACCGTCGGGGGCCCCGTGGGGCCTGTGCTGGCACCGCCCGCACCCGCTCGGCCAGGAGCCAGAGCCTCTTTCCGCTGTGGGGGATGGTGGCCTGGGCCGCGGCGAGACCCCTGGTCCCAGGGAGCCTGCTGCGGCTTGCTGAGCCCGGGGGCGCGGGGTGGGCCCCGTGGGCTCCCGGGTGTTGCTGGGCCTCTGTGGAGGGGAAGACAGTGAACTGTCACCTCCGTGAGGTTCTCCAGGAGAAGCTGGGGAAGGGGTGCGTGTGCAGAGTGAGGACGTGAAGGGTGGGGACCTGGAGATGGGAGCGGGTACCTGGGTGCGCACCTGCCGGGACCTGCCAGTGCCATCGTCACAGATGACGCCTGTGCAGACGCCCTGGAGCTTCCCGAGGACGTGACACATGTGGCTGTACGGTCGTTAACACGCGGGCCCCAGTCCTCTGTGGAAAGCTGACCGGCGGGGGTGGCATGGGAAGGGAGGTGGGGAGGCGTTCGGGCCCTGGCACTGCGTGGGGGGGACAGTGCAGGGAGTGACGGGAGAGGATGTGCCCAGCTCCAGGAGAGAGTTGAGCGGATCCCCCAGGCCCGGGGACTAATGGAAGACAGATCCCGGGGCGCCCTGGGGCTCCCTGGGGCCATGCCTGTGGGCCTTTTAAACAGCCAGTACTGAAAGCTCAGGGTAGAGGCCTAAAGCCAGCGTGTCTCACGGAGTTCCCAACACACAGTCTAATGAGTTTTCCGTTTCCATCTGCCCAGAAGCACTGGACACGGAAGCTGCTGTGTGTGTGCACATGCGTGTGTGCACGTGAGTGTGTTCACGGTTAAAATGCCAGGGTCTCCGTGACTGCTGTGTGCCATGACACTGAGGCGAGGGTTATGTGCCTGCTGGCAGCATTGCTCCCCCCCCCACCAGTTCCTGCCTTTGTCCCCTGCCACACACCCTGTGGAGTGTCGAGCCGGTTCAGAGGGGCGCGTGGCATTCTCTCCGTGTTCTCACATACAACAAAACAGAACAGAGACACGTTCTCCAGCATCTCTCAGCCCAGAGGCCTGGGGTTAAGCTCCCCAGTGGTTTAATAGCCCCTGGGACAAGGAGAGGAGGGGGCCCTGGGCTTGCCCTCCCTCCTTGGTCCTCCAGCGAGGACCAGGAGGTCCTCCCTCCCCTCTGCCAGGGGCCCTCCTCACCACCTGGAGAGTGAGAGTGGGCCCGTGAGGCCACCTGTACCCCAGGGGACTGACTGCCATCTTTTGTTCTGTCCTGGAAGGTTCAGCGCGGGCTCATCTCTCCCACAACTTTGTGCCTGACCGCGTTGAGCCTCCACCCTGGTGAACATACCAAGGACCAGAAGAACTTCCTGTTGCTCCAAGGATCTGTCCACCTTTGCGGAAAGTGCTAGCCCTTCAGATTTCCTGGTGGGCGAGCTGGGGCCGGCTCTGACTTCCCTCCGAGTTCTGGGATTCAAGCCACCCACGCCCAAGGGGCTAGGTGGACTCGAGCCTTGGGAGGGGCCAGGGATCGGGAGATACCAGCTGGTGTCCACAGAACATTTCTGGAATCTCCTGAAAGGAAGGCCAAGGGGAACATCTTGAATCTCTCTTCCCCTCTACCCCCATCCTTCTCTAAAAGGTAGAGTTATCCAGAGTCTCTTACTCTCCAATGAGAAGTACCCAGAGGCTGGATGTGCCCAGGGAAGCGGCTTTGGCTTTGAGTGGGTAGCCCTATTCTAGCTCCTTATGGAGAGCCAACCATAACCCGAGGAGCTTCTCTTCCCCTTCCTGGAGAAGGAAGTGACCGGATCTGAAGGTGGCAGAAATGGCCACTCTGCCAAGGAAAGTCTACCCAGCCCCAGCTCAGAATCAGAGTGGGGCAATGGCACTGGTTGAGGCCTCCATGCCTCCTCACCCCAAATTTCCCCCTATTTTGACCTTAAACGTGGGTGTCCCCGTTGGGATGGACTGGGATGAGCTGAGGGTGGTTTCTTTTCCTATCAAGAGTTGTATTTTTGTATTGTCCTCTCTTTTATGCCAAGTATGTGTGTGTTGGACTGTGCAATGGATTTATGTAGTAAACTTGAGTCTGCAAATAAAGTAAAGTAACCAGCCACAGCTGGAGTGTGCTGCAGTCCTTATGGGGAAGGGGGGTCTTTCAACACCAGGGGGATCTAGAGGGCTCTGTGAAATACCCAACAGAGTCAGGAATTTCCAGGGATCGGCTTTCTTAGGGAAAACTCAAACAGAGAAATTAGGGTATTTGGCCTTGGTTACCCAGCAGTAACCAAAAAGAATGAAGCCCTTCAGTGAAGTTGGGTCTTCTCTCCCTCCTCTTGAGACTCAATCAAGTATCTTTAGCTCTTTAGCACATTGTTGCAGATCCACTCTGGGACTTAATTCAGCCCCCTTCCTTTTGAGGACAGAGCCCAGCCCTGTGATCAGGGGACTATCACACCCTCTGATCCCTATCTCCTCCCAGATCCCTGTTCCCCACGATGAGAAAAGGCTTGATCAGACCCTCCACCCTCCTCGTTAGGGAAGATTGCCAAACTAGAAAGACGTGTTGGAGTCATCTCTTGGGGCTGTCCTCACCGCTTGGGCTTTGTCTGGGGAGAGTCACATTCGTTGACCAGCCTTTTAGGTTTTAGCATCTTCTTGACAGGGACAGGCTACATGTTTATTGCTCAAGATCAACTGCATCATGTTAAAACGTAAATTTGGTTTGGGTTACTTAATCCTTCCCTGGGTCAGATTCCGGAGTCCTGAAGTATTCTGCAAGAATTGATCCTTCTTCCAAACAGACTAAATGAGGACATCACTGGGGATTAAGCCTCCTTTCTCCCCCGAGAGAATGGATGGACGAAAAGGCCCATCTGGTTTGGAAGGAAGGTGACAGAGTCATTAGATTCCTTTCTTATTCACCAGTGTTGCTTAGCAAGAGGAGGGCTCATCTTCCTGTTTATATACACTGGTCTGTGGGTTGGCCAGACAAGAGTGGGAGAAATTTTCAGCACAGAATACATCCCCATCTGCTGCTTTCCTCTGACTGATACGACCAAGCGAGCCAGAAGGTAGTCCACTTGGTTCAGTGCTTTTCTGAAAAACCTACTTCTTGAAGCTGGTGACCCTGCCACCTCCATTCCTGGAATTCACCTAGCAAGACAACAGCGTTGGATGGCACCCACCCCGAGGTCACAGTAGTACCTAATAACCTGGAGAAATGGTAGGATTTCAATTCCATCAGCTTTAATTCAACAACTCTCAGGACGCTGCTAGATTAGACATTAGACGTCAGTGCTGGAGTGTACCATAGAGATCATGAGATCCAATTTTCTCTCCGCTAACTTATCCCAGGTATATCCCCACCCCCACCCCCAAATGATGGTCCAGTTTCCAAACAAATACCACCAATGACACCAGTTTGCTCCTACCCAAGGGAAGTCATTCCAGGATCGGGGAGAAAATCCTAACTCCTAACGACAAAGCAGAACCAGTTTCCCCACTGGCCTTTAGAGCACATGAGCTGTGTCTCTGGGGCACATGGTCCTTCAGGTACTGGCATCTAAAGACGGTTTTCTTAGACTCCTTCTCAGTATTAACCCTTCCAAGCTTGTATTAGACAACGCCGCATTATACCGTAGTCATGAATATACCCCCCTCAGATCACAGTGCCTTCGAACAAGAACAATTTGTCTCCTGTTCACGCAAAGTCCAATGAGAGGCTGCTCATTCTGCCAAGTCTTCATCCAAGTAATGGCAGTGATTTAGGATCATTCCATCAAGAGATTCCAGCATCTTGAGGTCTTCTCCTTCCATCCACACAGGTAGGGGAAGCGGCACAAAGAAAATCTCTTGGGGCATTTACGGCCAACTCTGGAAGTGGCTGCTATCCCTGCTGTCCATGCCGCCCCAGACGTGGACACAGGCTCTTCATCGAAACACTGCCGAGACTGGGACGAATGTGAGCAGAACTTTACTAAAGGCTTGACCCAGAATCATCCTGTGGAACAGAAACACATGAAAACTAGATTGTGGAACCCAGCGCTCCAGTGGTCCCTGGGCTGGACCCTGCTAAGGAGTCTACTCTTGGCTTTCTTGCATCCTTGCCCTTTCCTCCCTTCAGGGCCGGGGGGTGTAGATACCTCACCCCAGAGCTAGGACCCTCATCCTCAGCCTTCTCCGGGCTCCCCCCGGTCTCAGGCTCTTTCCCAAACAACTTCATCATCTCCCCGTAACCTCCTAGCCACAGTGCAGATAACCTATGACACAGTCATGCCTTCAACTGCTCCAGGCCAGAGCGGAGCTCTGTTATTACTATTGCAAAACCAAAGGCCCATTAGCGTCTTTCCCCAAAATATGAATCAGAAATGTGATGGCAGCTTTACCAAGGTGAGGTTTCCTCTCTCCTAGCCATGGAGACTTCAGAAATGCCAGGGACGCTCTCAGAGGGCCCCCGTTCCACGGAGCTCTGCAATCGCCAATCAGGGACGAATATATCCCTGGAGGATGACTGGCCCGTGAAGCTGAGAGCCGGGAGGGGCTTGGGGAGCTGTGAGAAGTTGCAGATGGACAGACTGGGAGCTTATCTTGCCATGAGCACGTCAGCCCTGAGCCCACGTCAGCTGAAGCACAGACCTGTAGGTGGGGGCTCCTCGCCCAAATGACAAGGGAAAGTCTGGACAGTCCCAAACCCAGCTATTTCCGGCCAGGGGCTAGGCTGTGCCCCTGCATAGGGAGCACTGGAAATTAATCCCAGATTGCTTACTGATACTTAACTTTAACTTCTGCAGTGGAGTAGGCAACTTAAAGTAGCATGTGTTCCGTGCTTTACAACTAATTCCCCTTCAAGAACTGAAGTAGACATGTTTGTTTTTGTTTTTGTTTTTTTAAGATTTTATTTATTGATTCGAGAGACAGCAAGAGAGCACAAGCAGGGGGAGCAGCAGAGGGAGAGGGAGAAGCGGGACCCTCGCTGAGCAGGGAGCCCCATGTGGGACTCGATTCCAGGACCCCGGATCATGACCTGAGCTGAAGGCAGACGCTTTACCGACTGAGCCACCGGGGTGCCCCTGGAGTAGACGTGTTTGAGGAAATAAAATGAAGCAGGCCTAATAAGCGTCTGGGGCTGTAGCTGGGAAGCTGGACTACCCCATCTGGATGAGTCAGCCATCACTCAGCAGGGAACTAGCACAAGACACTGTCCTGGTGCAGCATGGGAGTGTAATGGGATGTGGTCAGTGACTCTGCTGTTAATTTTTTGGGAAATGTGCAGCGGAAGATGGTAAAGGAGATAAGGGCGAGCTGACTACAGCTGTCCCAGAGGATCCTGGGAGCCACCTGAGCCCCTACAGGGTCCTGACCCACCCCCCAGCTCCAGGAGCCTGGCTGCCCTCCTAGGCAGGGAGGCCAGAACCGCCGGCTCTGGGCTGGGTCTGAGCACATGGGGAGGAAGCAAGGAGTAGGGTCTGGCTCTGTGGTGAAGGGGTGTCTGGACCCATGGGGGTGACCAGAGGTGAGTGGCAGACAGGAGGTGATGGTGATAAATGGAAGGTTTGAAGGCCCAAGTAAACAAAACATTGTTTGAAAAAGAGCATTTCAGAGGTATAAATATTTTGGTGGCGGTGGTCAAGTCCTGAGCTCTGTAAAAGTACACTACATATTTGAACGTTCTATCATTTCTTAATTAGCCTGGGGGATTATTCTCGGCCCTGGTCATGCCTACTCTTGTGTCTGCCTGGCCAGCAATATTTTTTGCGGGTGTGCCCACAAATGGTTGGTCAGAGAACCCTCGGAGCAGAACCATGTGGGCGCCCTGAAGGCGCCAGGGTGAGGAGGGTGGAGATCAAGACCTCTTGGAACTTAGGAAGAAAAGAAAAAACCAGAAACCCCAAAGAAATGTTCACCTTGGTCCATATCAGCTGCACTATCCTGTCCCAGACAGGGGCCTTGCCGGGGCCCGGGCGTGGCTCACCCAGGGCCAGTGTTTCTTCACAAGGCCGTTGGGGAAAACTGGGGGGTCCTCAGGGAACTCCCCCCCGGGGTCCAGGCATGGCCACTGTGTGCACAGTCACACGCACCGGGTGACATCCACCAGCCTCTGGATGACCCGGGCGTGGGTGGTGTGGAAGGGCAGCCTGTCCACCTCCATGCCCACGTTGCCGGAGACCCCGCTCCAGACTCTGTGGTGCACCAGGATGCCCAGCATTTTTTCTTCCTGGAAAAAAGTTGAGGACAGAGTCAGAAGTAGTGGAGGGGGAGGAAAAAGAGAGACAGACACACGATTACGAGCGCGGGAGGCATGTTTGGGCGCAATCTCTCTCTCTCTCTTTTTAGAGCAAAATAAAATTTTGCTTTAGCCATGGGAATGCCCCTGAGAGACTCATCACAAAAGTCCTGCATCACGTTGGGCCTCGTCTGCCCCAAACCCACTGCTCAGAAGCAGCACCTTAGAACAGTTTGGGGTGCTTCTTTTGGGAGTCACCCTCCTGTAACTACATATGGTTCTTAGAAAACCACGTTTAGCGTTTGTTAAAAACACTGAAGATTCACTTCTGCGGATCTAGCATGAGTTACTCCCTGCACCCTCGTCCCTGCTCAGCTCCCATAATGTGCCAGTGGCCTGACTGCCAGAAGGGCTCCCAGTCCCCTGAGCCCCCAGCCTCCATGGGCCTGTCCACACGCCTGCTGCAGCCGTCCTCTCGACATCACCTGGTGTGGACACGGGGGCATCTGCAAGGAGCAGAGCCAGGGAGAAGATGCAGCCCGACCCGGGGCCCAGGAGGCAGGGTTTGGGATCACACAGATCTGACTTGGGTCTTTCCTGCCAGCCTCTCCACGCCTCAGCATCCTCATCTGTATAATGGGGATGTCCATGATAATAATAGCATTAATGCCCCCTGAGCGGCTTGTTTTAAGGATTACATGAGAGAATGCAAGGAAAGCACCCAGTGTGGTCCTTGGCGCACAGCAGGTGCTCATGAAATGAGGTGAGTTGTTACTAGCAGGGCTGGGTCCCCTGGCCATTAGCCCAAAGCTTGTTTCCTTTGACATACTTGCTGATTATTATTATTATTATTATTATTATTATTTAAGTGATTTGATTCTCCTCCTCTCTCCCACTGAAAGGTCCCGAAGAACCACTTGTCTACTCATCCACCATGCATGTCTCTCAGGCTGAAAAGTTCTGGTCCCCCTGAGGAAGGTGGGTCTTAGGTGAAGACACGAGGAGAGGGGATGGAGGAGAGGGGATGGAGTCCAAGGGGCCATGGTGAAGCGCATCCTCTCCCTCCTCCTCCACCAGCAGAGGAGGGGGACAGTGCCAAGACGAAGGACTCTACAACAGGAAGGTTAGGACGGGTCTGAGAAGGGCTCTCGCCTTCCTCCCCGGGTCCTTGCTCATTCATTCCATTGCCCATCAAAGTTCTCTTGAGCACCTGCTGTGTGCCAGGCCCCAAACCAGGGATACGTTGGGAATGTGATGTAGTCCCTGCCCTGGGGGGGGGGGGGGTCACAGTCTAGGCGACTGATGAGGCAGACACAGTCCGTGGGGATCACAGCGCAGAGCAGGGGCTCCAACCTCGTTTATCAGAGTGGCTCAAGTAAGACTTTCCGGAGGAGGAGCAGCTAGGACTACAGGTGAGGAAAGAGCAGGAATGAGCCAAGCCAGGGGCGGTGAGGAGCACTCGCTGAAAACTTGTCTGAACAGCACAGAAAGTACTGGCAAAGGTCACATGGGAACTGTCTACTCCCAGCTGGCCCGAGAGCCTGCATTTCCATAATGCCCTGGGGGCCATGGTTGGAGGGCCACCCTAGGGCATTTCCTGGCATCTCTTTGCCCACCTGCCCACAATGCCATTTCCTGCCCTTTGTCTGGGTTTTATTTTCCATTTCTTCCTCTCTTGGGTCATATCCTCCCTTTATAGGGGAATGCTTCTGGGACCCGGGAGTTAGTGTGGGAGCATTTCCTCCCAGCACACTGCCTGCTGGCACCATTCCCATCCTTTGGGGTTCTGGGGAGGGCCTAGGGGGTGTCAGGCTGCAAGTGACTGGTCAGCAGTTTAGGAAGAGCCCCAGGGAGCTGGCACTCAGCCTCTATGAAGAGCCCCAGGGAGCAATCTGGCCAATGGTGCCCACCTGCAAATTTCCAGGAGTCACAGAATGACCACGTGGTCTTCAAGGAGACCCCAGCAAGTGGAGGTGGTGGCACAGGGAGAGAATGGACCTGGAGGCTGTGACACCGGCCCAGGCTGAGACAGTGTGACATGAGAGGAGGGACAGAGGCCTGAAGTGAGACAGAGCGGCCAGGGCTTGGGGTCCAGTGTGTTGTGAGTAGGGACGGAGGCCCTGGATGACTTCTGGGCTTAGAGGCTGAGTGTGTCGGTGGTCTCCGTGGTTGACACGGGAGCATGGCAGGCTGATATTCACGGGCAGGTGGTGGTGCTCTTCAAAGTGGGACTGGGGAACGAGGCCTTCTAGGAAGTTAGAACTGTAGCATGATCTTGGCAGTAGCTGCATGGATGTACACATATGTAAAAATTAATCTATTGTCCACTTATGGTGCATGCACCTCTTTATTCTATGTAACTCAATTTTAAAAGGCTAGGAAAGAAAGTGGAGTGGAGGGATCCCTGGGTGGCGCAGCGGTTTGGCGCCTGCCTTTGGCCCAGGGCGCGATCCTGGAGACCCTGGATCGAATCCCACATCGGGCTCCTGGTGCATGGAGCCTGCTTCTCCCTCTGCCTATGTCTCTGCCCCCCCCCTCTCTCTGTGACTATCATAAATAAAAATTAAAAAAAAATGTTAAAAAAAAAAAAAAGAAAGTGGAGTGGAATGGAAGTGCTAGAAGAGAATGGGAACCCAGGATAAAGCCATGTTCCTGTCTCTCTGCATTATCCATCCACATATCCATCCATCCATCCACCCATCCCTCCACCCATCCATCTATCCATCCACCCACCCATCCATCCACCCATCCATCCATGCATCCACCTATCCATCCATCCATCCATCCATCCATCCATCAATCCATCTATCCATTCATCCATCCACCCACCCATCCATCCACCCATCCATCCATGCATCCACCTATCCATCCATCCATTCATCCATCTATCAATCCATCTATCCATTCATCCATCCATCCATCCATCCATCCATCCATCCACCCTTAGTCCCTCCTGTAAAGTGTCATCAATCAGCTCTTAGCTCCTGACAAAGTCTGGGGAATGCTCTCCAGCCATTTGCTATGCCCTCAGACAAACATCCTGGGCACAGCAAAGAGCTACAGTGGGCAGAGTGTGCCCTAGATGTTGGTGGCCACCTCCCCCGGCTCCTCAGCATGGTACCCACACCTTCCACAGTCATGATCAGATCAGACCCCTAGGAATTGTCCCTCAACATGGGAGGCCCTGCTTGTAAGCAACTTACAGAGCAGAGATGAGGGACATCCCTCACCCCTTCAGCAATCAGGCCACACCGGCTTCCCAGGCCACAACTCTGCCCAGCATTGCTCCGGGGCTCAGGGATGCCCAGTGAGTGACGTGTGGAATTCTAGTACGACGATTGCAGTTCTTCCTCCTGCATGCTGCATGGCTTCATATGCCTGCACCTTTGCTTATGTGAGTCTTGCTGCCTGGAAGATCCTTCCCACCCTTCCTTACCTGGTTACTTACATCCTACTTGCCCTCCAGGACCCAGCTTAGTGTCACCTCCTCCAGGCAGCCTTCCTTGAGGTGAGCTAAATGCCTGTTCGCTGTCCCTACACAGCAGCTTGCTCTGCACACTTCCATCCTTTCCTGTGTCCTGCCCCAACCCCCAGTGGATCCTGAGCTCCCCACCCAGGGCCTGGATCTGATCCCCCATTGTCTCCCACAGCAAACCTAGCTTGGCCCAGAGGAAGGGCTCAGGGGCTCAACACACTTTTGCTTTGAAAATGTTCCCTTCTCTTTTCCTCACAAGGGTGATGCATTATTAATGTATTTATGATGGACTGTGTAGAAACCTGAAAGGAGAATTTTCCATCCCTGGCGGGTAAGCGCTTGGGTTGTGTGCATTTGTTTGGGCGGGTTCATTCCTTTGTGTCTGCGTGAATCAGGAATCATGTGTGAGGCAGCCCCCTGAGTGAATGTTTCCAATTCAGATCCAGGAAATGCAAAGAAAGCACAGAAGGCCCTCTGGGCCCCACAGGGGCAGACCATTTCCTCTGAAAATGTCACTTGAGCCGCTCTAGTCCCCCCCACTCCCTGTGGCACCCTAGCATTCACCAGGGACAGGAAACTTCTGAGCCATGGAAAGAGCCCAGAGAATGGAGTCAGAGGTCCCAGTGCCCCCTGGTCTGGGTGTGTTGGGCAAACCATCCCTGCCCCCACCACCTGCTGGAATCCCAGCTCCCTCATCTGTAAAGTGGGTATAACATCAATCCAGAGAGGTGTTGGAGAGAAACATGGTTTCAGGAGGGAGAAAGAGACAGAGAAGCCGAGGGAGAGACAGGGCTCTGGATGGGCTCTGGGCCTCAGCGACCGGCTGCCTGGGGACTCATCCCAACCACTAGGCCCATCTGAGCTGCTGTGTCCAGGCTCAGTGCTCAGGAACCTTCCTGCCCTTAGACTGCATTCCCTTCTCCCCAGACCAAGCCTCTAATGCAGGGTCTCAGAATGTGGTCACCCAGAACATGTCGGGGATGCTCTTGTCCAGCTCACCTCCAGCCTACTGAGTCAGGACTCCTGGGTGGGCTTTGCGCTCTGTGATTTAAGATGCCCCAGAGGTGATTCACATGCCTTTGAAGTTGGGAAACTGCTGCCCTGCATCCAGCCACCCACTCATGTATGCATTTGTTCACTTATTCATTCATTCCAGGAGAATTTACCAAGCGCCGTGTTTCCCTCTGCTGGTTGTTGGAAAAGCAGACATGGAAGACCTGGTTCCTGGTGTTGCAAGTAGTAATCGAGACCTTTGGGGGACCAGACTGTGAAAGTGAGGCCATAGGTTGCAGGAAAGCTGATTTTTTGGACTGGTTAGGAGTGGCCGAGGGGTGGGGGGGGCCCAGCATGACTCAGCACGGGAACCCCTCCCTAGGCCTGATTGGACCCAAGTCCTCCTCCTCCTCCTCCTCCTCCTCCCTGAAGAAGGCAAACTCTTCTTTTCACTGAACCTCAATCTGCTCTTGTGACCCCTAGGTGTGAGGCCTGGAGTGGGGCTACTCTTCTGGGCTCCAGCCAACACACCCCAGCTCCCTCCACTGTTTCTTCTCAGACTTTGCAGCCCTGTCACCTCCTGCCTGCTCTCAGGTGAAGGGGAAGCTCAGGTAAAGCTGCAGCTCACAGGTGAAGTCATTTGGGGCCTGGGGTTTAGACCTAAAGTCAGGGCTTTCGATGCCAATTTCTCAGGATCCAAATGGATCCAAATGACTCCGGGAAATTCCCCCCCGAAGGTGCTCTAGGCTCTGGGAGGAGCCAGGGATGGAGAGAGGGTTTGAGCCTGGAATCCGCGTCAGTGGGTGTGGCCAAGGGAATGGCAGAGTCATGGAGTCCTTCTGTTTTTTGTTTATTTGATTTTTTTTTTAAATAATCAGCCTAAAATAATCCATACACCAAAGGGCCAACATCTTCTGGTGGCAGAGTCTGCTCCCCTAGGGTGAGGCTGCGGAAGGGCAGCAGTGATGCTGGGCCTGCGCCCCTAGCCTGGAACCTTCCTCCCGTGGGTGTGGCCTGCTGGGTGTGTTACCTTAGCAAGGACAGAAGGGCCTGATCCCAGTCCCCTTTCCCAGGTGCTCCTGGGCCCAACTGCCTTCGTTAGGTAAGGTCTGTAGTTTAGGATGTACAGCGTGCACAGGCCAAGGCATAGCCTCCCCAGTTAGAAACACCTAGAACAAAAAAAGATTCTATCATAGAAGTGGAGAGGTGATGGGGTCCGTCATCCTGCCTCTAAGCAGCAGGACTCGTCTCCAAGAAGGGCCCCACACTCAGTGGCACCAGCGGCCCCTGAGAATTGGTGAGAAAAACAGATTGATGTGCCCCAGCGCAGACTCATCAGAAACTCGGCGGGTTCGGAAAAATAAACCCGTACAGCCTGCAAAAAAAAAAAAAGAAAGAAAAAAGAAACTCGGCGGGGAAGGCAGGGGCCACATTGAGGGTTCATGAGCCTCCAGGTGATGCTGATTCAAGTTAAGGTTTGAGAACCCCTGCTCCACACCGGCTGGGTTACGTTCTGTTAGCGACCCACCATCAGGGAGATTGGCTCTAACCCTGGGGAGCTGTTTCAGGACTTCTGACCTTAAGGCCTGGCCCTCCCACGTGGCCGACCTGGGTCGCTCATGCTGCCTGGGAGCCGGTCCTCTGAGGGGTTCACTGGCTGTGCGGCATCGCCTCTGCCTGGAGGGCGCCCCCAAGCCAGCCTCTGGCCTCCTGCCTTCTCTGTCAGCTAGCCCCAAGGTGCCTATTCCCCAGGCTGGGCACCACGTCACTGGCTCTTCTCTGAAACCTGCCCAAGTGCTCCATTCGGCTGAAGGAGGACTGATTTTTTTTTTTTTATAAATTAATTTTTATTGGTGTTCAATTTACCAACATACAGAATAACACCCAGTGCTCATCCCGTCAAGTGTCCCCCTCCGTGCCCGTCACCCATTCACCCCCACCCCCCGCCCTCCTCCCCTTCCACCACCCCTAGTTCATTTCCCAGAGTTAGGAGTCTTTATGTTCTGTGTCCCTTTCTGATATCTCCCACACATTTCTTCTCCCTTCCCTTATATTCCCCTTCACTATTATTCATATTTGAAGGAGGACTGATTAAGGACCTCCTGGACTGTAGGTGTCAGAGCCAAAAAAAAAAAAGAGAAGAAAAGAAAAGAAAAAAATGAAGAGCCCCCAACCAGGGAAGAGACTGAGGTGCTCACAGGATGATGGGAGCACTCAGGAGAGGCCTGGCTTGGGAAAAATTCACAGAAAAGGGGTCATTTAATACGGCCTTGCAGGATTTGGCAGAGAAAAGGTAGAGAGTGGGGCACTTCAGGTAGAAAAAAATCCCAACATGCTGTGTGTACAAAGGCATGTGGCACACAAGTACAGGCACGTATCAAAACGTGGGACGTGAGGACCATGCAGGCTGGGGGTGGGGAGGTCCAGGGGGAGGGGTAGAGGGAGAGGGAGAGGGAGCCCAGCAAGGAGCCTGACATGGGGCTCGATCTCACCACCCTGAGATCATGACCTGAGCCCTTACTATTTTTCTGCCTGCTGGATCTGTCCCTGTCTGACAGATGGTGATTAAAGTCTCCATGGATATGAGAGTGGATCCATCCATTTCTCCTTATAGTTCTATTTGTCTCACATATTTGACACTCTGTTTTAGGAGCACCCACACATTAAGAATTTTACATCTTGGGGCGCCTGGGTGGCTCCCCAGTTGGTTGGATATCCAATTCTTGGTTTCCACTTGGGTGGTGGTCCCAGCGTCACAGGATTGAGCTTTGTGCTGGGTGCAGAGTCTGCTTGGGATTCCCCTCCCTCCCCTTCTGCCCCTCCCCTTGCTCACACTCACTCATACACTCCCTCTCTCAAAAATAAATGAACAAATAAAATCTTTTAACAAAACTGATATGTCTTTGGGGTACCTGACTGGCCCAGTCAGAAAAGCAATGAGACTCTTGACCTTGGGGTTGTGAGTTCAAGCACCACATTGGGTGTAGAGATTACTTAAATAATAAAACTTAAAAAAATAAAGAATTGTTATGTCTTCAAAAACGAACACAAACAAAAAGAATTGTTCTATCTTCTTGGAGTCTTTACCCCTCTACATTATGGAATACCCCCCTTTGACCCTGGAAACTTTCCTTGCTCTAGAATCTGCTCTGAGATTAGCATAGCTACTGATGCTCTCTTTCAGTTCTTGTTAGCCTGATATATTTTTTCTTCATCCATCCACTTTTAATCTATATTTATTTTTAACGTGGGTTTCTTACAGACAACTATAGCTGTGTCTTGGTTTTTGATCCACCCTGACAACCTCTGCCTTTTAATTGGAGTATTTAGGCCATTGACATTTAAGGTGATCAATTATGGTAGATCAATATCTGCCACATTTGTTACTATTTTCTGTTTGTTGATGGAGTTCTTTTTTTTCCCGTTTTTGTCTTCCACTCTTTTTCTGCCTGTTGTGGTTTTCACTGAGCACTTCATATGATTTTATTTTCTCTTCTTTCTTAGCATATCAATAATACCTCTTTTTGGGGCACCTGGGTGGCTCAGTGGTTGAGCATCTGCCTTCAGCTCCTGGCATGACCCAGGGGTCCTGGGATCAAGTCCCACATCGGGCTCCCCACAGGGAGACTGCTTTTCCCTCTACCTGTGTCTCTGCTCTCTCTTTCTGTGTCTCTCATGAATAAATAAAATCTTTAAAGAACCCACCTCTTTTTTAAAAAATTATTCTTAGTGGTTGCCCTAGAGTTTGCAATATACATTTATAACAAATCCAAGTTCACCTTCAAAGAACTGTTTCACAGGTAGGGCAAACACTTGAGATAAAACACTCCTCATTCTTCCGTCCTATCCCTTGTATGATTGCTGTCGTCCACTTCACTTACATACATGAACATGACTGAATGTGTCGTTGCTATTATTATTCAGAACAAAGTGTTATCTGTTAGATCAATTCAGAATAAGAAAAACAAAAGTTATTTTACCTTCATTTACTTATTCTCCGTTCTTGGTATAGATCTGAGTTTCTGACCTATGCAATTTTCCTTCTCCCTGAAGAATTTCTTTCAACATTTCTTGCAAGGCGGGTCTCCTAGCAACAAATTACCCTCCGTTTCTGTCTGTCTGAGAAGTTCTTTGTTTCTCTTTCACTTTTGAAGGATAATCTCACAGGGCACAGAATTCTAGGTTGGTGGGTTTTTTCTGTCAACACTTCATACATGTCATGCCACTCTTCTTGCTTGTGTGGTTTCTGAGGAGAAGTTGGGTGTAATTCCTACTTTTGCTACTCATTTATCTGGCTGGGTGTTCTCTGAACTTCCTGGATCTATGGTTTGGTGTCTGACATTGATCTGGGGGGAAAACCTCAGTCATTATTGCTTTAAATATTGCTTCTCTTCCTTTCTTCTCCTGCTGATATTCCCACTACATGAATGTTAGCAATTGTTCCACAATTCTTGGATATTCTATTATGTTTCATCCAGTCTTTTTCTCTTAGCTTTTTAGTTTTAGATGATCCTATTGTCCCCTCTGCAAGGTCAGAGGTGATTTTCTCAGCTGCATCCAGGCTACCGGTCAAAGGAATTCTTTGTTTCTGTTGCCGTGGTTTTGATTTCTGGCATTTCTTTTTTTCTTAGAATTTCCATTTCTCTTCTTATATTATCATCTGTTCATGGCATGTTTGCCATGTTTGGATATGTTTGGATATTTCCCTTCCCCCAGGCAGGTTAGGCTCTGATAAAATCCCAGCAGGCTTGGCTCTGGTAAAATGGTTTCTCTTGAGGGCAGGTCTTGTCAAGAGCAAAGTGTTCTGGGTGGCTCAGTGGTTGAGCATCTGCCTTCAGCTCAGTGCATGATCTCGGGGTCCTGGTATCGAGTCCCACCATCCCACCATCGGGTTCCCCGTGGGGAATCTGCTTCTCCCTCTGCCTGTGTCTCTGCTTCTGTGTGTCTCACGAATACATAAATAAAAAGAACAGAGTGTTCTGATGTATTTTCAAATGGTTTCTTCCCTCTACCCCCTAAATCACAAGGGGATTTTTCTCTGATATCCATGGTGTGGACTGGATAGAACTCATGGGGGGGGTAAAGGTCACAAACATGTGGCGACCCCCTGTGACCTGGACCACCTGGAGTTTTGAACTCAATTCATCAGTTGCAGGTTTTCCTACTTTGACACTCATTCCCTCAGGGATTTCTGCTTATCTCCAGGCTCCGTTTTGAGGATGAAATTGGAAAGCCTTTTTTAGGTATTTGTCAAAAGTACTGAAACTTGTGGTGCTGTCAAGGGAGGAGAGGTAGGGCCTAGAAGGACCCGGATACCAGAAAGATCAGTCCTGGTAGGGAGGGGTGAGAGAGGGCAGCCTGGGGCAGAGGTAAATTTGAGGAGAGGTGAGAAGTCTTTGCTTCCTCCAAACATCTAACAGATTGTTCTCTTCCTTTCCACCATGCGGGAGGAACCGAGAAAAGCATGGATGACCCCTCCTAGGAGAGGCCTTCCCTGACCATAATCTAAAATGTCCTGCCTCTCCCTGTCTCTCATCTACCCATAGCTCTCAGCACTATTTAGCATGAGCTGGGTACTTCTTTCTTAGAGCTCCTTGTCTGTCCACCACCTGCAAGAGCCTTGTGGAGTAGAATCCATGTTAACACCAGGATTCTAGAACAACGCCTGGCACACAGTCAATGTTTGTTGGATGACTGAGTGAGAGGCCAAAGGCTGAGAACCAGGTCTCCCTCTTGCTCTTGTGCCCTGGAGCCCCCACTCCCAGAGGAGAGGAGACTCCGGCTGGATGGATTCCAGGCCTCCAGGGCCCTCCTCCTGGGTAGCCGGGCCTGATGGACCTGGTGATGACTGCAAAGTCGGCCTCCATGTCACAAGTGATCACATCTCCATTTCATATGTGTCTCTTCACAGCCTCCTTGACTTTGCCCATCCTGAGCTCGTTGCCCCTGTAACTGACCCCTGAAGGGAAGTGGAACCATATCAGGCAGTGTTGAGGACTGACTAATATGGGAGTGGTTGTGGGGCAGGGCAGCCCCTCAACATGGAGTTTGTTGCCTTGGGGAGGGGAAAGGGTTGACTCTGGCTATATTTTCAGACAACCAGGAGATGTACATCTCCTTCAGATCGTCGAAAGACTTTAGTTTGGAACTCAGCAGTGTGGGGCCATGTCCCCAACTGATTCACACTCTCTAGTCACAGATGGAGCACCCCCTATCCTGCTGTGACCATCCCTGTGGGAGATGTGGGGTGGTGGTCCTAACTCTTGAATGGCTCCTGCTCAGACCAGGGCTGCAAGACCCCGAACCCCATCCGTGTGACGGGGAACTGGTATGGATCATTAAGCTCAACTCTGTAATTTACTTTTAAAAGCTTCTGTTTAAAGAGTATGAAATATCTGTGTGCCAGTTTATCTTAACCTACAGCAGAGGGTGCCTGGTGACCCACAAGGTAGCTTAATCAGGAGTCCACACCACAGGGGGAGGTTGGTTAGCACATGAAGGACACCAGGTCTGACTGAGCACCGGGTGTGGTACTATATGATGGCAAATTGAATTTATAAATAAATAAATAAATAAATAAATAAATGCCAATCTGATCATCAGCACCTGCAGACTTGTAATTGGCATAACAGATGCTTGAACAAACAGCTCAAAGTACATCAGTGTTAGAAATTACTGAATTCATTGGTGAAACGAATGGTGTTGAAGGTGGGCGAGTTGGCTAAAAGGAATGACCAGGGGTAGCCTGGGTGGCTCAGAGGTTTAGTGCTGCCTTTGGCCCAGGGTCTGATCCTGGAGACCTGGGATCGAGTCCCGCGTCGGGCTCCCTGCATGGAGCCTAATTCTCCCTCTGCCACTCTCTCTCGCGCACGTGCTGTGTCTCTCATTAATAAATAAATAAAATCTTAAAAAAAAATGACCAAGCAAGTCCACCATCACAGGAACAAGGTGACAAAAATCTAACCCAGCCTGCAGCCTGCTGCTGTCTGAGGTGTTGCTAGAGAACGGCTGTTGGTCCTGTGTCCAGGTATTTCTGGAAGAGTCTGTAGGTCAGAGGTCACCTGAACCTGCCTCCAGGGCCGTGGCAGCTGCCCCAGGATAACCACTCACCAAGGCACTGGTCCGAGTGCCTCAAGGCCTGAGGGCCAGGCCTGGCGAGCCTGCCGCACGGTTGCACGGCTATTTCTGTGTCTGTCTCTGCGAAGGCCTGGAACGCGTGGAGGGAGCCCACCCGACGAGGCCAGCATTCATCACGAGGTGGCTGTGGTGGGGGAGGGGGCTGGAGCTACCCCACCTCGAGCACTGGACACCTGCCTGTGGCCAAAAGAATCCGACTGTTTTGGCCAAGGGACCTCAGGTCCCCATCCTGAGCATGTCTCTCAGAATAATTTTCTAGGCCCACAGTAGCCGACTGAATGGAGGGAAATGACCACAAGCCGAGAGCTGCTGCTTGTCTACCTGTTTCTGCTCTTTCGAATTGTCTGAATTTCGTCTTGTTTGCTCCTCAGTCCTGACTGTGGCCTTGTCATCCTCACCTGGTGGCACTCCCGGGGCCTCCGAGAGGGGAGGGCCCCTGGGTGCTGAGTGGAAGGCCAGTGCTATGTCCACAAGGCAGCTGCCTGTGGAAACTGAGGCATGGGGTGTGGATGGAGCAGAGGAGAGAAAAGACCAGGGGTGGCCTGCTGGGCAGTGGGCTGTGGGGAACCACAGCCTGAGGGTACCAGAAGTCTCTAGGGGTCCACCAAAAGGGCAGTTTGAAGGCATAAACAGCCAGCTCCACCCGCTTCCTTTAGGCTCTTGGGAGCAGCCTTAGGGGGACCAGCAAAGATGAGGAGGACCTTCAGCAGGAGGAGAGCAGCTCCTTTGAATCGTGACTGGCCCTTTGGGCTTGGAGACCCCTTCCGCATGCACCAGGGCCATTCCTCCCTCCAGCCCCCAGGTCCCCAGCCTGCCCAGCCCACAGAGACAGGAAGTAGGAGCCAAGTGTGCCGTGGGTACCACACCCAAGGCCTCTTCTGGGAAAGACCAGGCACTTTGTAGAAACTTTCTACTCAGCCAGGAAGACTTTTATTGTCTCATCAAAGCCTCAAAAGCCAAAGGTGACTAATGAGTCTGGGAAACACTCTGAAGTGTTTGAATGAAGAGAACAATTAAACACAGAACAAGAAACTTGCCTTCATTACCTAGGACTTTGCCTACCCTCAGGGGAGCAACACTGTTCTGGGAGCTGCTTTAAGCCTTTTAGAAATTCATTAAGGCAACATGACTCCACGAAAAGCATGTCGGAAGGGGTTCCGGGAGTCCGGACTTCCTAATTCTAGACCAGCCACACTAATGGGCTAAGCGACCTCAAGGAGCTTCCCTGGGCCTCATTTTTGGACACTATCTGCTTCTCTACTTGCCAGGGCTGTAAAGAGGCTTCAACAATATATGGATGTGAAACCTCTTTGAAAACAATGAAGTTTTGTACAAACACAAATGGTCACATTATTACGTTCCCAACAATCAAAATATTGCACTAGTCATGTATTTAAGTCATACTTAAAAATTAATGCGCTCATAAGATGAAACACAGTAGACACGGTACATTCATCCTGTATGGCCAAAAGAATATACCATGTCCCAATTTTATTATCACTCTTTTTCTTAGTTTTTTTTTCTTTTTCTTAGTTTTAATAGTTTAGAGCTGGACGAGTACAATACACTCTATTACGTGTCATTTCCCTTCCTTGCTTGTGGGAATGTCGGATTTCTACGTGACGGTGTCTTTATCGTCTATACCGGCCGTAATAAATAAACATCATCTCTGGATGGTCCCCATATAACTCCTTCTTGTCATACATCCCCCTGTCAATAAAAAGGCAGTTAGTGTTGACACATTCTTATTGAATTCTCAGCTCCCTGCTTACCAGTTGACGAGATTCCAGGAATTTTCTGTGTTGCAAGGAAAAGGTCATCAATGGGGTCAACCAAGTGTTTGATGTTCGTTTTCCTGGTGTTGTAGTAATTGCCATCGGCAGCCCTTCCTGAGTGGTCTATTGCCACCAGATGGTCGAATCTGCCAGAAAGCAAGGGCATAGGGGACTCATGGAGAGGACGGCTGCCTTGTTGGCTCGGTCGTGTATTTGTGTGAAGATCCTCGTATTCTGTATTTGATCCCTTCATTCTTACAGAATTTATGAATAAGTGACAAGGACCTATGCTGGGGGTTAGTCTATCATATCCTTTTTAAAAATACCGTCAGAATCTTAGGGTGTCCGGGTGGCTTGGTTGAGTGTCCAACTCTTGATTTTAGCTCAGGTCTGATCTCAGGGTCATGAGATCCAAGCCCCATGTCTGGTACCACACTCAGCACAGAGTCTGCTTGAGATTCTTTCTTCCTCTCCCTTTGCCCTCCCCCACCCCGTGCTCTCTCTCTCTAAAATAAATAAATAAAATCCTTTAAGAAAATAAAAATAAAAGTATCATCGGAATCTTTAGCAGTTCATTAGTCAGAAGTTGTGAGATTAGGAAGGCTGATGGTCAGGGTCACATGCTGGATGAGGCTGGCAACCTGGCCCCGATCTCCACTAGCCAGTGGGTGCCAGCACCCAGAGGTCTACTCAGTGGTTGCTATTGGTACACTGATGGCTTCTTCCAGGATCTTGTTCCATTTATGTGCACAAACAGACTTAGAAAGAGTTGGAAGACAAAGGAAACTAATGCAAGAGAGAGATTAGACAAGAGGCATAGACTGGTGGCAGTAAGCTTGCAGAATCAGGAATCAAATGGTGTAGGCTTGAGTCCAGACCTTCACACTCCTGGCCATGGCCAAGTGCTTAACCTCTCAGACTGCCATTTGCTACAATAGGACCTGTCTCATACAGTGTTGAAAGGAACCTCCCTGCACCTCATCTTTGGACATGATACCTGCATTAACTACTTTACAGGGTTTTAAAGAGGGTTTAATAATATAGTGGAGAAAATGCACAAGAGGTGCTTTGTAGAGAACCTTGTACCTACCCAGTGCTTGGTAAGTGGTAGTATTTGTGGCTGCTATCATTATTAGGAGGAATATTGTCTTGATAATCCAATTTAAAAAAGTGAAAATTGCAGTTTCATATCTTCTAAATTCCCCCATAATGGAGTTCCTTATTTTTTTTAAGATTTATTTATTTTAGAGGAGGGGTGGAGAAGGGGCAGAGGAAGAGGAGAGAGAATCTTGAGCTCGGAGCCCAAAATAGGGCTCAATCTTACAACCCTGAGATCATGACCTGAGCCAAAATCAAGAGTCAGAGGCTTCACTGACTGAGCCACCCAGATGCCCCATGATGGAATTCCTTAAAATCTTTGCTGTGGAAAACTGTGTGGAGGCTCCTCAAAAAATGTGAAATAGAATTATCACCTGATCCAGCAGTCCACCTCTAAGTATGCACCCAAAACAATCGAAAGCAAGGTCTCAAAGAGACACTGGTACACTCTTGTTCATAGCAGCATTATTCACAATAGGCAAACGGTAAAAGCAACCTGGCATCCACTGACAGATGAACAAAGAGGCCAAATGTGGTATGCGCAAAAAGGGAATATTATTCAGCCTTAAAAAAGGACGGAAATGCCGACATATGCCACAATATGGGTGGATCCTGAGGATAATTTGCTAACTGAAATAAGCCAGTCACAGTAGGACAAATACTCTATGATTTCACTTACATGAGGTATTAGAGCAGTCAGTTCATAGGGACAGGAAGTAGAATGGTGAGTGTCAGGGGTTGAGGTCGGGGAGAATGGGAGTCAGTGTTTAATGGGTACAGCATTTCCATTTGGGAAGATGAAAAAGTTCTGGGGATGGATGGTGGGGATGGTTGCACAACCATGCAATTAATTAATGCAATGCCTTAATGCCACCAAACTGCACACTTAAAATGGCTAAAATGGTAAAATTGATAATATGCATATTTTACTACAATAAAAAAGTCTTAAAAAAATCTAAATTCTGAATGCCTAGCTTTGCCCCCTGGTTGCGCAGAATGTGGTGGCCTCATATATGCTTGGAATCAGGCCACTGAGTAGCTTTTGGGATGTAATCCTGAGGCTACATGCCCAGGGCAGAAAAAGGCCACCACTAAGAAGCAGAGTCAACAGGAGGAAGGAGACTTGACCCTGAATCTCCCCTGGATTGACATCAGTGGTGATGAAAAGCCTGTTTAGAACAAGACCTCCAATTGAGATCAATATGTTCTCTGTTCTTCAGGGACAATATCACCTCTGGACCTTTCCCCCAGGAGAATTCAGTTATATGCCTCATAAAGGTGGATTGATTTTTTTTTCTTTTTTTAGGCCAGCAGGCTCCATTTAGTTACAGTGGGAAGTAATTGACTCCTGGGAAGCCTGCTCCCTGGGAAGAGTTAATGCATCATCTCCAAAGACAGCACGAGCCTCTCTCCCCACCATCAGATCTGCCCCACCTCCCTCCACTCTGAGAACAGAGCAGCACCTGCATTAACTGGCACTGGGGATCCCACCCAAGAGTACTTTCTAGCTTCTCCCTGAAGATCCAGGGCTTTGTTTATATGTCAACCATTTGGAGACTATAAACATCTCTAATATGAACCACACATGTTTTTGCAGCTTTAAATAGCATATGGGATCCACAATTGAACTTTTCTTGGTGACTCAGGTCCTCATTAAGCTCATCAAATTCTGCTGTGAGCTGCAGCACAGCTATGTCCTCCAAACCTCTTAAAGCAGTGTTTTTAAGCTCTAACTGGACACTCATTAGTGGATTGTGAAATAAATTTAGTAGGCCAGGTTGGCATCTCCAGAAAAGTAAAATAGAACACTCTAGAATTAGAATACAACCAACTGGAATGGAAAATGTCAGAATATATTGCACATAGCAAGAGTGAATATTGTTTTTTACATCTTCTGTTTTGGTTGTGTGTGCATGTGCTTGTGTGTGCACACATATTGGTTTCCAACGCAAAAGGTATTACCTTGTCAAACCGGTTTGAAAACACTGTATTAAAAATGATACGGCCTGCAGTACATCCCTACATACCATAAAGATGTATTTTTCAAAATATCTGATCACAACACATAGTGAAAAAATACACACCCTTGCACAAGTTTCCTGAGAGAGTGCTCACCATTGTACGATGCGGCATTTGTCTCTCTTCCCCTGCAAATGGGCTGGTTGTTCCCGCTAAAAGGACACACCGCTCTCTCACGGGTCCTGACCCAGTTTGAGAAACTGTTGGTTTTGGGGTTTTATGACTTTCCCATCTTCTCCATCTATCGGGAAGGCTTGCCATCTCTCGGGTGTGCCAGGCCCGGAGAGCCTCTGCCAAGTGCCCAGTGCACCTTGAACCCCGGCGGCCCGGCCCGTCAGGACCCCTGGGCTCACGGCTCTGCTGTCTCTGGAGCCGTCTAAGTTAACAGTACCCTACGCTTCCCCAGGTAGGCTGGGATGGGATGCACACACCTGGGGGGCTTGGGGTCCCCATCTTTGCAGAGGAATGCTGGAACGACTCCCACCTTGGAAGGTCAATACGGGGATCTGGGTCTTCAGAGCACCTTGAAAATGAAGGCAAAGGGTTGGACACATCATTTTGGAAATTCATGTTGGCTTTTCAAAAGCTTCTGTGCAAAGCATCACAGTCATTCCTGGGAAGCGCCTGCCCGTAGAATACACTTGGCGGGGAAAGCCGAGCCCTCGACGCCAGAACACTGGGTTACTCTCCGTCCTGAGTACACCCTGCAGCTGGCATAGTGGGTGACCCTGAGTGGTGGTGGAGCTGGGTCAGTGTCACCGCTATCAGGGGGCTAGCAGATATGCTGCTTGTACATGCCCATGACACCCCGTGAACAGAGGCCTCTTCTGGGTGATTGCCATCACGAATGTGGGGGACATGTGGCACCCAGGGTGATGGGGAGTTGGCCCTCCGCCGAGCACGGGACATGCATGCTCTCACTTCATTGTCACAACAATTCTATGTGATAAGAACCATCATTAACCCCACTTTACAGAAGAAGACTGAGGCCCAGGGGTGTTGGGTAAAGCCAAGGATGGAGGTCAGTGCCACAACCCCAGTTTCCACCCCAAGTTCTCATCTGCTCTCCCGCCCCGCATACCTTCAGGGAGGTCCCAGAAACAACGGTGGAGAGGCCCCAGAGTCTGGAGTTTGAGTCAGCGATCGGTATTGGAGGGGTGGCCAAAGTGAACAGGACTCTCAAAAATAGCACCTTTTCCAACGACAATGATAGTACATGTTAGTGTAGACTGCGTGGGAAGCACTCACAAATCCCACAGTAAAATAAAAGTGACTTGGTGTCCATGAACGGATCCATCTTGTAGCACTTGGGGGTAGAATGCTTGTGAGGTCTCCCCGCAGAGCCTGTGGTGGCTGACTGGGCCGGCCACAGGGCAACCCCAGGACCTATGGCCTCACTGGTCTGCAGGACCCCCCAGGCCTCTCTGTGGACCAGAGGGGGTGTCGCACGTCCATCATCAGCCCCTCACACCCCTCACGCGAACCCAGCCCCAGTCAGCCCCCCGTCTATGTGAGAACCACCTGCTTGTCCTATAAATGTGGTTTCATGATGCCTGCTTCTCCCCACAGCTTCACCGTATGGTTGCCCCAAGCCCTTTGGGGGCTACCCCCCAACCCCCAAGGGGTACAGGAGCCGGAGTCATTGTCAGACACCCTAAGGGGCCTCCAAGGTGGCTCCCTCCAACCTCCCTGCCCAGTCCCACCCCATGTCTAGGGGAGAAAGACAAGTAGAGGACAGGCCGTCCACCAGGGGATACTCACAGAGCACATTTTCCACGGGACAAGGGGGGAACGGGGGTGGGAGTGAAGGTGGAGTGGTCCCAAGAAGCTGGAAGACCCAGACCCTTTCTATGCTGTGAAGAGGTGACCCTGTGAGCAGACTGAGTGCAGCCAAACAACCCTGGGTGGGAAGCAACATTCTCAGCTGTGTGGACCTTGGACAAGCCCGCCCAAACTCCCTCAGCTGTGCTCTCGTCTTCTGCAAGGTGGGGCTCACCTCCCCCAACTCCACCCTGGTCCCAGGTTTACTATGGATGCAATGATGAGAAACGGGCTGAGCAGAGCCGGGGACCGGGCAAGTACTAGGTGCTCAGTTAAGGCTGGTGCTTTCTTGCTTCCTTGGCATTGGCTGGAGGGTAGAGGATTCTCCTAAGAGGGCCCCCCCCCCCCGGGGTGCCAGACAGGGCGGGAGCATAACACCGCCCCCAGGGGCACACGGAGAGAAAGAGGCTCAGCTAAGGACCCTCAGGGCGAGCAGAGAGCCCGCCCCCGCCCCCGAGCTACAAACAACCACTTTCTGCAGTTGGTCCATTAACGCCTGAGACTAAGGGGGAGAAGTGACTAAGGCTCTTCCTTCTTTAAACCTGTGCAGCCTTTGGTTATAAAAGGAACCGAAATAATTCTCATTAAAAGGCCAAATCTCTTTCACGTTCTTTGCCCACAGGTATCAGAAGTTCTGCAAAACCCAACAGAGCAGATGCCACCTTGTGAGGCAGGCGCTGGCAAGCCCCAGTGGGGGGGATGGGGGTGCCGGCGGGAGCCCCTGGGCCGGCCGGGAGAGGGGGTGGCTAAGAATACCCCAGCCGGTCGTCAGGCGGGAGACACTGCCGGCCTGTTGGCAGCGGCTGGCACGGGGGCCTGTCCCTTCTCCTTGGTGACAACTCGTCCATCGTCCTCCATGGGGCTCCTTTTCGGCCTCCCTGGCTGGTTCGCCCCCTCCGCCCCCGCCCCAGGGTGCCAGCCTGGGGCCTTTCCCCGCCTCTTGTCCCCTGGGTGATCCCAGCCTGTGCCTGGACTCCACAGGCCGTCAGGATGCCAGCCGCTCTCCGGCCTCCCCCTGCAGCCCAGACGGCCCCCCTGAGCTGGACGTGCACATCCGTCTATTGACGTCTGCACTTGGGTGGCTGGTAGATGCCTCACTCTGAGGCTCGGACCCGCGCCTTTGTAAAAATCTTCAAAAACTACAATTGTAGGGATCCCTGGGTGGCTCAGCAGTTAAGCACCTGCCTTTGGCCCAAGACGTGATCCTCGAGTCCTGGGATCGAGTCTCGCATCAGGCTCCCTGCATGGAGCCTGCTTCTCCCTCTGCCTGTGTCTCTGCCTCTCTCTCTCTGTGTGTCTCTCATGAATAAATAAATAAAATCTTTTAAAAAAATACAATTGTAGGGGCTCCTGGGGGGGTCTGTTGGTGAAGCGTCTGCCTTCGGCTTAGGTCACGGTCTCAGGGTCCTGGGGTCGGGCCTGCATCGGGCCTGCACTCAGTCCACCTCCCCTTTGCCCCGGGCCGCTCCTCCTGCTTGTGCTCTCTCTCGCTCGTTCTCTCTCTCTCACCAATACATAAATAAAATCTTGTTAAAAAATTATAACCGTGAGGGCAGCTCGGGTGGCTCAGGGGTTTAGTGCCACCTTTGGCCCAGAGTGTGACCTTGGGGAGCCGGGATCGAGTTCCCTGTCCGGCTCCCTGTGAGGAGCCTACTTCTCCCTCTGCCTGTGTCTCTGCCTCTCTGTGTCTCTCATGAATAAATAAATAAATAAAATCTTTAAAAAAATTATAATCGTGGTAAAACACATAATGCACATTTTACTTTCTTGGCCAATTCTAAGTGTACAGGGTCTAGCCTTGCTGTGGGACCATGTCCGGAACTTTCTCATCTTCCTGAAATGAATTGCTGTCCCCATCAAACACGAGCTCCCCAGCCTCCCAGGACCCCCAGCAACCGCCCTCCTTCTCTCCATCCCTATGATATTAGTCACTCTAGGTCCCTCGTGTAAGTGGGGTCCTACGGCATCTGCTCCTTTGTGACCGGCGTGTGTCACTTAGCAAGATCTCGCCCAGGCTCCCCCACGGGTCAGAATCTCCCTCCCCTAAGGCGGAACATCCCCCCGCCCTTCTGCAAGTGCCACCCTTGCTGTCCGCAGCCGCCCCTGGTTGCTCCCGCCGCCTGCCTGCTGGGACCCTGCCTGAAGGACCCTGCCTGAAGGACCCTGCTCCCCCCACGGATGTGGGAGGATGCCTTTGCATCCCCTGCTTTCCATTCCTCTGGGGAGCAGACACCCAAAAGTGAGGTTGCCGAGGCACGTGGGATTTTCCATATTACACCCTGGGGAGCTGCCTTACTGGCAGTCATGGCACCACAGTGCCCCCCGCAGCATCTCCCCGAGCGGTCCCTGGCAGCTGTGCCCTCAGCCACCTGCCCAACCGCGGGCCGGGCCGTCCTCACCTCCGGTCGCACACCTGCCTCCAATCCACCTGGAACCCACGATTCTACCGTCAAACTATAGACAGACCTGTCTCTGCCTCAAAGCCTCCACCTGTACCATTCATCTATCTGGGGACCCCCGAGGCCAGAGTCTGACACCCAGATTTGGGCATCAGGTGGTGTACTTGGGAGATGGGCCCAGGGGGCAGGTGGGAGGAGTGCAAAGTGAGGAAAAACCATGAGGAGGCTTTGGGCACTTTCGAGGTCACCGCTCTGGGCAGTGGGGGCCCAGTGCAACTGTCTCCAAAGGACAAGAGGCAGCAGGGCGGTGCCCCCTGGTGGAGGGGCTCCCAGAGGCATTCTCTCCCTTACTTTGGGCTGAGTGGTTTTGCAGAGCTTTGAAGAAACCCCAAAGACACTGGCTGGTGATGGGGCTCCGTCAGTCAGTGTGAACCAGAACTCCACTCCAGCTGTGGCTGAAAACTCTGGGGGCCACAGGGGCACCAGGCCACTCTGTACCCCGCTTGCAGTGACCCGGCCAGTTTCCACCCTTGTCCCTACAGTTCCTGGGTGATCCTTAAAAACTGAAGTTAGAGCGTGGCCCTCCTCTGCTCAGTGACCTCCTAGGGCTCCCCACCCCAGGAACAAAAGCCCAGCTACTCACGTGTCCCTTGAGACCCTTCCAGGCTGGCATCTGTGACCTCTCTGTGCTCCCTTCTGGGTTCTCTTATCTGCAAGCCTGCCAGGGTCCCCGCTCCACCTCACGGCTCTGCTCGGGCCTGTGTGACAGGCAGTCTTATCCATCGGCGGATCGCCACAGCCCCCGACAGTGCCTGGCACACAGTAGGTGCCCCGTACACATGTGCCGTGTGAAACAGCCTGTTTGTTCAGACACAGCCTTCTGGGACCTTACAGTGTTACGGTGCTACAGAGCATACCTTATGGGGGGTTCAAACCTGTTTCGGGGCTAAAAGGGAAAAATATGTCCCTTAAGAATGTATTTTCAAGGCCATAGAGAGCGGCAGCGGGGGTGGGGGGCAGGTTAGAGCACCAGCGCCCAGCTGATGCCTGAGCAACAGTTGCAGAAAGGAGGAGAGGTGACGAGCGGAGGCTCTCAGTGGACCCCGGACTGACTCTGGTGCACAGACAGCGGCATCGTGGCCCTTGCACCCCCTGTGGTCTCCAGGGACCTGTGTAGTGTGGGCCATTCCTGCCCACGTGACCCCGGGGCGCAGGAAGGGGGGGAGGGGGAAGGGGGACACTTCCGTCTCCGTTCCTGACTACCACACCTCCAACCTGGGACGTACAGAACTGGCCCGGCTTGCCGAGTCCTCTGCAGGCCACACGTGGAGGGGAGCGGGTGCACAGGATGACCCTGGGCTCTGGAGCCTGGAGGACCCAGGTTCAAACCCGAGCTCCCCGTCCCCCCTGGGGAAATCACTTGGCCCTGGCAGAGACTCAGCTCTTCAGCCATAAAACGGGGATAATGCTGCTCATGCCAGAGAGGTTCCAGACAGGCAGGAGAAGCCCCACGGGTGCTTCGGGAGTTCCCCACTCGCTGGATCCCCTACTCTCTGCCCATTTGGGGAGACGGCCCATCCTCATCTCACGCCTCACCTTGACAAACTTCTCAAACAAACTCAGGGCTCTCAGGTTGACTATCATGGAGACCTCCTTCTCCGAGGCCTGCAGGAAGGCAGCCAGAGCCATGGCTCCTGGGGGGCTGTCCATCTCTTCGGGGAGCTCGTGGCTACATGCATGGGGATGCCAAGCTGGTGGTGACCAGCACTGAGCAGGCATGGGACAGTGACAGGGCGGCTCTCAGCAGCTTGTCTCTGCAGACCAGGTGTCTGATTCCCCGGTGGTCTCAAATGATTTAAAAATTATTCATTTTCTCTTAGAGAAAGAGAGTGAGCAAGGGGAGGGGCAGAGGGAGAGGGGAGAGAGAGAGAGAGAGAGAGAGAGAGAGAGAGAAGCAGACTCTGCACTAAGCAGGGAGTCCAACACGGGGCTCGATCTCATGACTCTGAGATCACAACCTGAGCTGAAACTAATAGTCGGAGGCTGAACCTACTGGGCCATCCAGGCGCCCCATTATTTTTCTTGAAAAGTCGCAGAATAGCATGTGTTTTAAGTAGAAGCTTATGTAAACAGCAGTTTGGTTTTTAATTTACTTTTGTTTCTGAAGTGGGACCGAGGGACGAGGCAGAGACTGCGGTTCGTTCCCCGGAATGGGCCCAGGTTGTCTCTGCCAGACGGGGAGAGCCGGCCAAGGGAGAGCGGGGGTCCTGCGTGCCCTCTCTGCGCCCCCTCTGCACCTGCTGCACACCTCCCTTCCTTGGTGCCCGGGGGGGTCACCTCCTGGGGGTCACAGGGTGTCACGGCAGGGCTTCTGGGTGGAGCAGGTCCCCTTCCTGCTGGAGCCCAGCACTCCGTGGGGAAGGCCCGTCCTGGACAGTTGTGCGAGAGGCCCGCACTCGCATGGTATTTGCAGAGAGCACCCTGGGGTTACTGGGTTGTAGCGAGCCAGCGGACTAACGCAGGGATGTCCATGTAGGAGAGGCAGTGGGACTGCCCTAGTGGGGGATTCCCCAGAAGAAGGCCCTGGGACAAGGACTTGGGGGCTGGTGTTTCCATGGGAAGTGAGCCCAGGAACACGAAGTCAGAAGATGGAGGAAGTGTAAAAAAAAAAGGGAGAAAGGCCGCTGAAGAATGAATGTGTGAGTGAGCAAATCAACCGCAAAGCAACTGGGGCTTGGTCTTGTCCGAGACCCTCTAGGAAACCAGGGGTCCCTCCTCCGGCCAGAGGACAGGGGGACCTGGCACTTATGCACCTGCTGAGGTGGAGGGTGTCTGTAAGTACAAGAGCGGCCTCCGGTGGAGGGACAGGGGGACAGCTGTCCTGTGGGAACCCCAGAGGCCGGGCCAGGTGAAGCCCAGGGGACGGGGGAGACAGGCCCAGTAGCTGGTGCCAGCCGGGCAGCACAGCCTCCCAGGGCCCGTCACGTGTCATCGTGCCCCTGTTCATACCCAGGTCACCTCAGAGCATGTCTGTGCCCCGTGAAGGCAGGCTGTGACTGGGAACTTCCCCCCAGCCATGGTCGAAATGACAGGGAGGCCGAGGAATGTGGCCAGAGGACGTCGGCTTGTCCCTGAGGTACTTGGGGACACTGTGAAGAGACAGGGTTGGGGTTCCTGTCATGGGTGGACGGTTCCAGACTTAGAATCTGGACACTTATGGTAAAGCTCAAAGTAGCTGTGTGACCTTGGCCTCATCCCTTGATTGCTCTGGACCTCAGTTTACCTGCGTGGAGCATGGGGGCGTCCAGGTGGAGGGGGGAAGGCTGCAGGAAGGGGCCCTCCATGTGCCTGCAGTGGGAGTGGAAACTGGGACATTTGTCTGGAGGGGGATTTGTCCTCAGATTTGTATGTTCCACCGCATGAGCTAATCACATCTAGGAGTTTTACCTCAATAAAGGGATGGTGGAGACGTACTCCCACGTGGTAAGAAGGTGTTCATCGAAGCCTTGTTTATGGTGTCAAATAATGGATGTTAATAAAAATAGTGCGACATTTGTGGAATGGAATTCTATGCAAGTATTAAAAAGAATGCTGTAGAAGATTAATGACATGAAAGGATGTTCACAATATATTAAAAAGGAAGATATATATATAAATAATATATAAATTATTTTTTCAGTCTTACAGGTTTAAGACTGCAGAAAAAGAGGTTTTTTTTAAAGATTTTATTTATTTATTCATGATAGTCACACAGAGAGAGACAGAGAGGCAGAGACACAGGCAGAGGGAGAAGCAGGCTCCATGTACCGGGAGCCCGACGTGGGATTCGATCCCAGGTCCCCAGGATCGCACCCCGGGCCAAAGGCAGGCGCCAAACCGCTGCGCCACCCAGGGATCCCAGAAAAAGAGTTTTAAGGACAAATATCCAACTGTTTGTCAATAATGGTTCACTGTGATGGGCTTCTGGTCGTTTTCACTGCCTCTTTACATTCATATATTTTCTGATGTTTCTACAGCGAACATGAATTGTTGTTGGCAGATGGGGAGAGAAGAAGAATATTTTTTAAAGAAAAACGACTGGAATGTAACCTATTTCACAGGATGTGATAAACATCCAAAGAGAGAGGAGAGGAGAGAGAACTTTGTCGAATTCAGAGCAGACGATGATCTCGTCATTTGTGATGATTTTATTATGAGAGCAAATGATGTCACTATAAATAAACTTTGTGTTCCTCGTATTCCCCAGGCACCTCAAAGGCAAGCCAGCATCCTCTCAAAAATGATTGAGTGGCTTTATTACTATGCGCAGGGAGCGATGCTCATCTACTGGCATTAATCTCTCTCTCTTTTTTTTTTACTGGCATTAATCTTATATCTGCTTACCTAATATAGTAGGCATCAAAAAGTCTGTTGTTCTTGAGGATTAAAGATGCCATTAAGATACTCCTTAATAGACAGGATTGACTTGCCCGGACAATCATAAATCCACCTTTCCCCACGCCTCACTCTTCAAACCTAGACACAGTTTGCACAGGCACCCTAGGGGGGTTTTGTGGATGCCCTCCCAGGTCATTCTCATGAAGCTAGGATGCACTGGGTCTGCAGTAAGTTTACTTGCCACCTTTTTTTTTTTTTTAATTTGGGCATTTGGCGGAATTTATATATCATCTTCCCTTGTGACCCTTGTGCTGAATAGAAGAGCTGTCAGCCTGGGTTAGAATGTTCGTGGGGGAGACAATATCACAGAAATTTAAAAAAAATATCCACCCAGGAGATCAACTATGGAAGAGGCCCTCTGTGTACAGAGCCAGGAGTTTTCATCTCTACACATGCATGTGTCCTAAAAGGTGCATAGGTGCGTAGGCATGGGTCCCAGAACCACTGTGGGTTTCTATGCCAAATAAACCGTATACTCTCTGCAGAAGGAACAAACGAATGAGCAATCTGACAGACAAAAACGTGAAAAAGCAATGCCTTACAGTTTTGAAGGAAGTTTTGCTACTGAAGAACTTTGATCCCAAGCCCATAGGAGAGCTCATTTTTAAGGCTGTTCTGCACTGTTAGATTCTTGGCTGAAGGATTAGTCAGCCCAAAAAGGGACCCAGCTTGGTGGCTCGGTAGCTCTGCCCAGGTGCTGTTCTCTGTACCATTGTCACTGTAATCTGCCCTGTCTGGGTCCTGGGCCTCTGGCCAGGAGGCACAACCTCTCCAGGCTGACCTCACGCCGCTGTCTTCCACGAGGACCCCACCACCATCTATTTAGAGATCTGCTTGGCAAACAGGGGACAGATGGGCCAGCAGCGAGACCACATATGCCTCCTTCAAAGTACAGAAAAAACCCCACCGAGATCAAGACTCATGGCTTGTGAGAAGGTGTGAGCCAGGGGAGGCAGGAGCTGTTTTAACTGGCCCGACGGGACTGTGATCTACCATTTAAACTCAGATGCCGATTTATCCAACCCTTTATTGATCGTGGGCCTTGGAGTCAACGTCTGCCCGGATCACATGCTAGGTTATGTGGACTTGGGCAAGTTTCTTAACCCTACATGCCTCAGTCTCCTCATATGTTAAAGGAAGTTCTAATAGCTGCCTCGTAGGGTCAGTGGAAGGATTTGATAAGAGGAAATGTGCCAAAGCTCTTAGCACATGTCTGGTCCAGGGTAAAACTCAGTGGATGATAGCTGTCATTCTTATTACCGACCACAGCCCTGAGAGGGAGGTCTAGTGCTTATTTCTCCTGTTCTGCTGAGGAGAAACAGAGGTGGAGAGCCCCAGGGAAGGCTGCACCTTCACTCTTTTGGGAGCCTTTGCTAGTAAATGGATTGAATTTCTGTGCATGTCAGCATGGGATTAGACATGCTGCTCTTCAACGACGGTGCAGGGCAAAGAGAAGAGCCCCTCAACTAGCTTGCAGCTGACCTCCTCCTCACTGGAACCAAAAGACCCTCATGGATCCCATGTCTAGAGAGCCAGTGGGTCGCAAGCCACAGAAGGACTGTCCTTTCTCTGAGATGCAATATGCTATATATGTGTTGGTTGCAAGCCCTTGTGAGGCCATCACTTGCAGGGCTCTGCCCCAGCAGCATCCTCAAGGGAGTGGGAGCCAGACCCTGCACCCACCTCTGCTGCCCAACACACACACACAAGAATCTATTCTACACCCAACCTCGGGGTGATGGCACAAAAGGAGGAGATTAGGGACACATGGATGACTTTGTTTAAATGGTGGCAGTTGATGAATTAGGAACAACCACACTCCTTTTTTTTTTTTTTTTTTTTTTTTTTTACCTTTCCAGTCCCAATTTAGTGGTGATGGCAATGTGCCCAGTTAATAAGCTTACCTTCCAAACCCTCTCTTATGTTCAGTGTTGAAATTAGTGTGTGTGTGTGTGGGGGGGTGGTAAATAAATTAAAAACCCCAAAAAGTATTCAAAATCGAACCACCAACATCAGTATTTTGTGCATTCGCTTCTTTTGGGAATTCACGAGCACTATTTGCATTTAAAAAAAAATCAGCACTGGTAATTGCACAAAGCATTCCCACTTAATTTTTAGAGAGGCAAGAACTAAGGATTTTGATGAATGCAATCATGATTTTTCTGTGTTTTGGACACGACCTAAGACCGGGCCCTCTCATGTCAGGAGCACACCAGGACAGTCAGCTCAGAGCATGACCCAGGGCTCTGCTCCATCAGCTGTGAGGTGCATGGCAGCTAATCTAACACTAACAGAAGTTTAAGTATTGAAGTCTGAGCATGATTTTTAAAAAAGATTTATTTATTTTTAGAGAGAGAGAATGAGAGAGAGAAAAAAGAGAAAGAGAGAGAGCTAGCTTGGGGAAGGGCAGAGGGAGAGGGAGAGAGAAGCAGACTCCCTGCTGTGTGCAGAGCCCAGATGTGGGGCATGACCTCAGGACCCTGAGATCACGGCCTGAGCTGAAATCAAGAGTTGGATGACACCCCAGTTACAGCCACCCAGACGCCTGAGTGTGATTTTTATAAAGTTAAAAATATTCAAGGTCGTCCCTAAACAATGATGTCATTTGGCCTCATTTATAATCAGGTGGGCTTTTTTGAGCCAGAGCTAATGGGCTCGAGTTTGCTGGGCTGCCCAAGGCAGCGGGCCCTCTTCTGCAGCACCTCCCCCCCCCGGCCCCCGCAGTTGGCGGCAGGACGGGGATGCCACCGTGCTGGACAACATTTACCACACGTGTGTGGGTGTGTGAACACATAGGAGCACATACACATTCAGGAATGACCACAAACTTCTGAGAACGGCACCTGGTCTCGTGCAGCGTTTTATTCCCAAGGTCTGGGTCCGTGCCTGGCATGTAGTAGGTGCCCAATACATTTAATGTCAAAGAAACAAATGAATAGAATTCCATGGACTTATATTAGAAATTATATTAGACTGCTATATTAGAAATAATCTTCCTCTATCATGAGGCCATTCTGATAGCTAAACGTATACGAGTGCTTTCAAAAAAAAAAAAAAAAACTGAAGCAATACTCAATTCTATGATTTGTAGCTCAGGGTGGCTGGCCTGGCTAGAATTTTCTGGTGTCTACCAAACAGGCTTCAATAGTTATTCTTAGGATCTTTCTTTCTTTCTTTCTTTCTTCCTTCCTTTCTTCCTTTCTTCCTTCCTACCTTTCTTTCTTTCTTTCTTTTTCTTTTTTTTTTAATTTATTTTTTAAAAGTTAACATGTGCCTAAAAGGAAACTGAAAAACACAAGAAGCAAAGAACAAAGTCATCCATAATCACAAGCAGTTTACAGTTTGACTTCTAGGTCCCATGTGTGTATCTAATACAAGTAAACATTTTAATGTAATTGAGATCGTACAGTTATGTATCATGCTTTTTTTTTTTTACACACCATGAAAGTCCCCAGACTGTGAGTATTTTGGTAACCAAGAATACACTACACCAGCTCCATCTGAAAGAGAGAAAAATGTAATCCTGCCTTCCTTGAAAGGCGACAAAAATGGCAATGGGCCTCTAGACAAAGATATTGGCAGAGTTATAATTAAAATACTGCATTCCCTTAATGCTCAATTAAAATCAAGGCATAAAGTAACAGAGTACACAACAGATAATATGTTTCTAAATGTTCCTAACACACCCCTGCCTCACTGTGAGCGAGTTAGGGCACCCTCGTGTGTCTCTCCATTGTAATATCACCCCACGTCTTTGAAAAAAATAAACGGACAGTATTGCTTTAGCCAAGATACATTCCAAGACCCCCGGTGGAGGTGAAACCGCGTCTAGCCCCGAACCCTCTATAGACGAGGTTTTCTCCTATCTGTACCTCCCTACAATAAAGTTTAATTTCTAAATTAGGCACAGTAAGAGATTCATGGCAATAACTAATTAAAAAACAGAACGATTAGAACAATATACTAGAATGAAAGCGTTGTGACTGGGGTCTCCCTTTCTAATAAAGATCTTACTGTCCTGTCCTCACCCTTCTTCTTGTGACCATGGGAGACAGTAACATGCCCACGTGATGAGAGGAGGCAAGGGCAATGACACAGGCGTGTGACGTGGCGTGAGGCCACAGCAGACCTCAGGGGACGGTAATCTGCTTCTTGACTGCAGCTGGCTGCAGGTAACCAGCCTCCGGGGACAGAGCTGTGAGGAGCAGGGGACCTGCACCTTGCAAATACATCACATGGGGTGTTTAGTTGTGTCATTGGCCTTCGCTCCTGTTTTCAAAGTCCCACCAGCCTTCAAAATGTTTCAGAGAGTCACGTTAAGTATCTGTCTTTCTGGTAGGATGGACTGGGAGCCTTCTGCAGATGGAAATATATTTAATCAAAACGTATAAGCTGCTGGGGAGACCCAGCCCTGGGCAGAAGAGAAGGAAGCCCGTGGACTCTGCATGTTCTGTGTTTTGTGTTGGGACTCTGCTAAGTCACTGCACTGAAAGCCTATGCTCCCAAGAATGAGAAATCCACCCGTTCCCATCCTGGGTCTCAGGATGGAACATCCCCCTGGAAGCCCTCTGGAAGCCTCCTGGAAGCCCGGACGTATTGCAGCTGCTGACGGCCTCAAGACTGGTCATCAGAGAACGCCAGAACCCTGGAACATCCCCTGGCTGACACACCACAGGATCCGCATAGTCAGGTTTGGAAAGATCTTTGATTCCCAACCATCCTGCAAATGGAAAAGGAAAATGAATTCCTTTGGGTCTTGCCCTGGTAGGTCCCATCCAAGTTGAACACGTCAAGTGGTTTATGTCTCTTTCTCCCAGAGAAACTCTTAGTCATGGGCTTGCTGTCAATGGTACTGGAGAAAAGGAATAGAGACTTGAACAACCCAGGACACCCTCTAACTTCTAGTCCATTCTGAGTCGCACAGCTTCAGAACACAGCATCTCGAATGCCTGGTTGCCAGATGGGCCCGGGATGTGCTGAGCCCAATGCCCAGTGCCGATGGCTAAGCAAGCCAGCATTTGTGAGCTAGTGTTCATTGTGGTACAGGCTGGGTCACCGAGCACAGACCTAACCCCACCAACAGCATCCCTACCCCTGGGCCGGCATCTGAAGGCTGGGAGGACAGCAGAGATGGATGTGTTGGGCCCAACCCATTCACGAGAAGACAGTTCAACTTTGCCTTGGGTGGTCCTGAGGTCATCTTTCTATGAGGAAGGCGGCTGGTGCTGACTACGTTGTCACAGAACACAGGTCCATCTGAGCTACTTGTCACACACTGAGCAATTCAGGCACACTGAGCCCTGACTCTCAACCAAGACCCAAACCTGAGCCTTCATGAGGCCCTCTGAGAACCACCTAGATGGCTGCCATGCTTGGAGCTGCTCACTCAGGCTCTGACTAAGTTAATACACTGGAGATCTGTTCGAGCCAACCTTTGGAACAAGGCCCTTCCCTGCCGAGATGTGCTACTGAACAACAGCCCTGAGCTGTTAGAGGTTGCCCTGAGCTCAAGTTCAAGGACAAATAGGTCAGCGGTCACTCTCTACCACCCGCTCCTCCCACCCCAGGTTCACCTGAGCTTGGGTGAGGTTGGCTGTGAGTCTGAGCCTCATCCAGGATCCCCCACCCACCCCCACCCTCCACCACCCAGGAACTCCTGGGGAAGATGAGGACAAGCTGGAGTTGCTCAGGAACTTAGCAAGTTTCCTCTCTTCTTGGGCCAAAGTTCAAGGGTGGCTGTCAGAACCATGAATGAGAGTGGATGCTCACCCGGGTCACCGATATGAATGGGTCGTCCCGTGTTCCCCGTGGAGAAGCTGGCCCGCACTAGCTGGTCCTTGGGGATGGGGCTCACTGTGACCACCAGCAGGCACCAAAAGCCAGCCGTGGTGGTGCAAGGCACCGTCGTCTGAAATCAAGGCAAAGAGGTGGAAAACAGAATTAACAACAGACGGAAACCCTGGGCCCCAAGAGTTCAGGGCAGCCGATGAAGGAGGGGGTCCAAGCAGCTATTATGGCTTCTACTTTTATGTGACACAGAGATGAGAACGTGCTGGTACTGAGAACCTGAACTTTGTAGGTGCTGTGGACCCTGCTGGTAGCCTGCTGGGCTCCGGAACCCCCGCCCCCTGCTCAAAGTAAAGTCTTTAACTGGCTAAAGGGAAATGCATAGGTTTACAGAGGAAACCGACTCTATTGCCAATGCTGTCATCAGATTATGGGAAAGTATGATACGGTGCTATGTGTGCCTCCCGAACAGCCTAAGGAAGCAGGTGACCATGATAATTTTGAAGCAGTGACCAACTTTGAGGATATTTTTGAGATATCTAGAAGACCTGCCACGGGACACGAGCATGTGCAGGAGTTCTTTGGGCAGCCACGAAGTCATGAAAATAAACACGTAATATTTTTTCATCCAATTCCATGGGCCCCCTGACTTTCCTCCACAGACCTCAAGGGGCCCGTGGATCACAGGTGAGGACCTCTGGGAGAGTCAGAGGTGGAGCCAAGGGCAAAGGGTCTGGAAGGAGGTACTGGGGTCTGCTCTGCCTCCTGAGTCCCCGAGTGGGGTGCGGAACTGTGCCCTGGCAGTGCTGTTTTCTCCCCTGGGTGGTTTCTGGCTGTGGCAGTGGGGCTTACGGAAGATTTAGGACACGGCCAGGATGCCGATCCCCTGGGACAGTCTCGGCTGTGGGTGCCGAGGGGGGCAGTGTGCCACCCCCACACATGCCACTGCGGCACACTGAGTGCTTCGAATTAAAGTTACCTGAGAAGTTGTCATGCAAGACAAAGACTCTGACACCCGTCTCCCCCTGAGAAGTAGGAAAGAAATCCCACATGTGAAGGTCCCGTCCCTGTACGGGCGTGCGGAAGGCCACCCCACGGCCACCGATGGCACATCCAGGGCTGAGGGGCTCTAGCAACAAACCTTGCGACTCCCTCGCTACTCTACTACCCCAAGCCCGACTTCTTTGTCTGCTCAATCCTTCACAAATGTGTTGTTGGTTTCTTTGTCTGAAAGGCATTAAAGGCCTCCTGCTTTGGTTGCGTAGGTATGAAATTAAACTTGTTTCTCTCTTGTTAATCTATCTTATGTCAGCTGACATAGGAGAGCAGCCAAAGGACCTAGAAGGGAAGAAGGGGCAGGTTTCCTCCCCTGCAGCGCGCCTGGCAGCAGCGGGGCAAAACCTGGCCGTGCCCGAATCTCAGGATGTAGAAAGGAAGGGACACGTGGCAGGGGCTTTCTCAGGGCATGGGCAGTGCTCCCTGAGGCCTGCTTCCGGGGGTGCTTCCTCCTCTCTGGGCCCCACGGAATCCAAGATGCCTGCCTGGACCATCCAGACCCCAGGCCCAAGGTGACCGTACTCAGTCAAAACCTACTGGGGCCCCTGGGTGGCCCAGCAGTGGAGCATCTGCCTGCGGCTCAGGGAGTGATCTGGGGTCCTGGGATCGAGTCCCAGGTCGGGCTCCCTGCATGGAGCCTGCTTCTCCCTCTGCCTGTGTCTCTGCCTCTCTCTGTGTCTCTCATGAATAAATAAATAAAATCTTAAAAAAAAAAAAAGAAAGCTATTGGTAAGTGTGATGTCACGGACAGCCAAGGCTGTGCTGAGCATGCACCAGGGGCCAAGACCAGTACTCTGTGCCAAGCATCCCTTCCTCCATCACTGACACTTTACAGATGGGAGCTGGGAGTCCTGGGTGCCAGGCTGGCTTCAGGGTGTGGGCAAGTCCTTTACTCTCTCGGGGCTTTAAGCTCATGCAAATGAAAAGCTGCACATGATGCACCTGCTGCAAATGGTGGTATGTTTGGGGCCCTCTCCCCCACCTCCAGCCCCAGAGTAGCAGCCTCTGTCCCCCTTCCTCCCCTGCCTTTGAGGAGACCACTCAGGCACATACTTCACACATGAAAACTGTTTCTCCTCAGAGGCAGCTTGGGCCTACCTGGCAGGAGCCCCAAATGAGTGGGTTTTCCTAAACGTTGGGGAGGCCATGCCCAAATCTCCAGTCTGAGGACCTATGGGGGAGCCCGCAGAGGACCATGGGTGCTGGCTGTTCCCCCAGCACTGCAGCCTGTCAGTCCTTACACCGAGGTCCTGGAGGGGTCTGTGGCTTGGGGGAATCTGGTCCTCTGGCCTCAATGAGCAGCAGCTGGGCAGGACTTCAGGGACCCGGCTGGGAGGCCATCACTGCAGCAGGTGCATCTCGGGGAGGGGCCACCACACTGTAGTTTTGGCCACCAGGGGCCACCGCTGGCCCAGAACAGCACCCAGCCCTCCTGACAGAAAGATGACCCTGCTGCCACCCGGCTGGCCAAGGCTCTGCCCCGAATCCCTGGGCGTTGGACCAGTGGGGCCCATTCTCCCCGACCCCAGGAAAAGTTTGAGCCCAGGATTTTTTTCAAAAAACTCACTGAGATGCTCTGGGTTAAAGGAGCCAGACAAGTTTCTAAACAGGGTTGGTTTGCACAGCTGCAATAGTGTGTAAGTGCTCAAGGCCACATGGGGTGCTCACGGCCCTCCCACAGGTGGACGCCCCACTTTCCAGAAGAGGGAACATGCTCAGAGAGGCTAGCTTCCTGTCCAGGGCTGCACACCTAGAAAGTGACTGAGCTGAGGCCACGTAGGGGTCCTGCATCCTGGCATCAGTGCTCTCCCTGGGAGCAGAAAATAACGCGGCCATCTCCATTTTCAAGTCATGCCACCCTTGTAGATCATGCCCCTACCTTGTATCCCCACATGGGGCTGTGGCCTGCTGAGTCTCTTCTGGGGAGGCCCACCCTCTCCAAGCCTGCTTCCAGGGAGAAGCCACAGTCCAAGAAGAAGGCCACCATGTCCCTCAGCTGCTCCGTGTACCCCTCCAGTGAGGTCAGGCTCTCCATGCAGGTTCAGGGATGACACTGAGCCAGAGCCAGGTTACTAAGATCTTTTATTATTATTATTATTTTTTTATTTTTTTAAAATTAATTTTTTTTTTAAATTTTAGAGAGCGAGAGCAAGAGACTGAGCACATATACATGTGAGCAGGGACAGAGGCAGAGGTGGAGGGAGAAAAAGCAGACTCCCCGCTGAGTTGGGACCCCCCCCCCCAACACAGGGTTCGATCTCACGACCCTGAGATTTTTTTTTAAGCTTTTATTTATTCATGAGAGACACAGAGAGAGGCAGAGACATAGGCAGAGGGAGAAGCAGGCTCCTGGCAGGGAGCCCGATGCGAGGCTCCATCCCAGGACCCCGGGGTCACGTCCTGAGCCAAAGACAGATGCTCAACCACTGAGCCACTGGGTGCCCCATACAGATCTTGGTACCAGGCTAAGGGGCAGCCATGGAGAGACACTGAGGCATTAGGAACAGTCAGTCTGTGGGTGAGGAGAGGCAGAGAAGGCGTGAGCTGAGCTGGGAGAAAGGTGGGCCCACTGGGGAGCTACCGCAGGAGCAGCATCTATAGGGCCCTTTATGCCATGTGAGTCCGGGAGGACACAGGCGTGGTGTCAGTGGTGGCTGTCTGCGGGTGTTGCTAACACCAGTGTTTTTATTTTCTTCTGCAAGCTGTGCAGACAGGTCCCTGGCCTGGGCCATGACGTGACTGTACTTCTGCAGCCAGGGCGAGAGGTTCTTGGTGACGCCCTTGGGCTTTAGAGGTAAACCAACCTGTGCTTGAATCCGGATCCTGCCCCGACCAGCAGTGTGGCCCTCAGCCTTAGTGCTCCCTTGGATGTGACGGTGGTGATGACACCCACCTCAAAGAGAACCCCCAAGTGTCTCCTCATGTGTCAATCACCAAACACACAGGCAAACCAGACTTAGGGATTGGAGTTACCTTCATCCAGTGGAGTCCTGCATAGATAATTAAAATTTTGGTACGGAAGGAATAGCTAATGATGTTGGAAGATGTTTTTAGCATACGGTTAAAGGAACACCACCAGGTAACAAAACACTGTTTGGCATGGTCTCCTTTTTGTAAAATTGGTGACAGAAAGAACTAGGAGGAAATACATCTAAATATGAATCATGGTTATCCCTGGTGACAAGACTGACTGTTTTTTTTTTTTTTTTATGTTCTCTTTTGGGCTTTTCTCAATACTCTAAAATTCATGTAATAAATAGGTATCATTCTGTAACCGGAGGAAAAACACAAACAAGAAACATCATTTTTTTAAAGGATTATTTGCTTTAAAAAGACCTTCCCAAAGAAAAATGTAATTATGCCGTTTTGGAGAAGTAGCCCTGGTGACAATTCTCCCAGATGCTCGATTTGCTGTATCGACATGTGGACGTATCTTTCCTACAATGACACTGTCCGCTAATATTTAGAGGACTTGCTACATGCCAGGCTGTCCGCGCTGAGTACTCTGTAGATGTCAATCAGTTGTATTTTATACGAGGCGAGCAAGGCTCAAAGGGATGAAGTGACTTCGCACAGCTGGTGTGTGGCACAGCCAGGATTTCAGTTTGTGATGGGGGCACCCCTGAGTCCCTCTTGGGTCACTGTGGGGCTGCGGGCACCAGGCCTCCCTGGGGTGGGTCCTCCACCCCCTCTGGCACCTTCCTCCTCGGGGATGGTAGGATATAAATAGAGCGACCACCTGCGGGGAACATTCTAGGACCCACTTCTGAGCTCACGGCCTGGGACTCGTGACATCCAACCCCCGGTGTCTCTGCCAAGGCCACAGACTTCCAAAGTGAGGACAGACTGGAGGACCTGCCAGTCCCGGACAGCCCAAGGAGGCTGACTGCCCGTCTTGAGCAAGCCCAGCGTGTGTCCCAAAATAATCTGGACGGAGGGGGAAGGGAATTCAGGGGCCCAGACGCCTGGCTTTCCTTAGCCACCCCTTTCTTTCCTCCAAAGCCTGTTGTGAGAGCAAATTGGATTTTTTAATACCACAAATCAGAGAGGTATGTGCACAAACTGTCTTTGTTTCTTTTTTAATTAAATGTACTTCAGAGGGCGCTGTGTTTTGGTTTTGTTCATCTCCACTGTGATGGTGGAGAGTGTCTGAGCTGTCCCCATTAGGAGCAGCACGCCCAGGGAGGCCTCTGCGGCAGGTGGCTTTGGGACGGGGTGGTGCGTGTGCGAGGGGTGCAGAGAGGTGATTCCTCTCCGGCTCCAGCTAAGGTCACGGAGGCTTTTTCTTTGTGAAGAGAAATGAAGTGAGTCTTCTGAGTCCTTTTACCTCAAGGAAACATTTTCCTTATATATTTTTTTTGTTTGCTTGTTTGACTTAATGCCAAGAGAGAGGGGGAAAAAGCCCCTTTAATGTTCCTGATCTGGGGATCCCTGGGTGGCGCAGTGGTTTGGCACCTGCCTTTGGCCCAGGGCGCCATCCTGGAGACCCGGGATTGAATCCCACGTCGGGCTCCCGGTGCATGGAGCCTGCTTCTCCCTCTGCCTGTGTCTCTGCCTCTCTCTCTCTCTCTCTCTGTATGACTATCGTAGATAAATAAAAAAAATAAAAAAATAAAAATAAAAATGGGTTGGGGATCCCTGGGTGGCTCAGCAGTTTAGCGCCTGCCTTTGGCCCAGGGCATGATCCTGGAGTCCCGGGATCGAGTCCCGGGATCGAGTCCCGCGTCGTGCTCCGGCATGGAGCCTGCTTCTCCCTCTGCCTATGTCTCTGCCTCTCTCTCTCTCTCTGTGTGACTATCATAAAAAAAAAAAAAAAAAGTTCCTGATCTGATGCAAAGCCCTGGAAGACATAGTCCCAAACTGGGGTGTTCCGGCCGCTCTGCAGAATGAGCCTCTTTCCCCGTGGAACATTCCACGTCGGCGGCTAACTCGGGTGGGCCGTCACTCCCCCCGACGGCTCCTGTTTCGTCCAGTTCACAGGAGCCGAGGGAGTCACCCCGCTCACCGGGGGCTCTGGCCTGTAAGGAGCAGAACGGGGACCCTAGCTCCCCGGGCAATGCTCTCCTGGTGACACCAAGTTCCAGCAAGCAGTGGGGTTCAGCCTGTGTTTGCGGGCGCTGCGGGGACAGAGGGGTGCCGGCCTCTCACCCCGGTGGGTCCCCACCACGCAAGTTCGCAGCCCCTCGTGGCTGCTCCCCATCGACTCCTCTTTGGCCCCACGCGTCGCTGTGTCCGCGGGACGCCGGCAGGTGTTCAACAGGTGCTCGCACCTTGGGCTCATCCTGACCTCCTGGAGTCCCGACTGGGTGAAGTCTTCCGGCCACCAGAGCCGGAGAGGCCCCTGGTGACAGGGAAGCTGGTGCAGCCCGGCCATGCCACGCAGGCAAGGCAGGACCCCCGCGACGTTGCCGCCCCAGCAGACACGACACCCCCGAAGCAGAAGAAGCACCCGCGAGGCCCAGCCTCATGGCACAATAAGGTTTACGCTGCTGAGCCTGGGGCTGCTTTGTTCTGCGACAGTAGACGATCCCGATGGCCCAGAAACGGCACCAGAGTCACACGGGTCGATCAACGATGAAAGCTGTCCCGCTCAGCTCTTTGAACCATGCTACCGGCTTTCTCTTTGGCCGTTCCAGTTACCAGAACAGTCTCTCTGGTCGTGAAATCATGCTGGGCCTCGGGTCAGGGACAACTTTGCTGGCTTTCTCTCACAGAACCTTTCAGAGCCTTGAGTGTCACGTGTCATCGTGGGAAGAGACCAAGGCGATGGTGCACCTGGGGGGACCTGGTCTGAATCAAAGTCAGATTCAAATGCAGTGTCATCTGGGGACACTTTTCCCCCAGAGGAAAAACCTGTCACATCCTTGGGGGCTCTCGGCGGTTCTCGCCATGGGGTGACCCATGCGGTGACCACGTGGAACTGGGGGTGCCGGAGCCGTCTGATGGGGTTTGCACACCTGAGTCCGGCCCAAGTGCCAGACCTCCTCCTGGGAAATGAGGTAGCCACCAGAAGTAAAATCATCCCGCTCTTACTTCTTGCTTCCCAAGCAGAAGCTAGAAACCCCAGGGATTCCCAGGCCCCGCACAGCTGGTATGTCTAAGGATTTTTTTTTTTAATTTTAAAAAACTCTTGGCCCCACTTACCCCAGCCATGTTGGACACATTTCTGATGTTTGGTTTTGTGTGTAGAATCAAGGTCCTCATGGCAGCGGGGAGGCAGGACTGCAGGTGGAATGGGAAGGCCATCATGCCATCTTGGAATGGGCCAGGGTGAAGGAAAGAAGGGGAACAAGATGAGAAGCTGGCTTCCCCGAAAGGCGGCAGATTCAGCGTCAGGTGCCTACCTCCTCCCCTCCTGCCCTTCCCGGTCCTGCCCCCAGGGGGCATTGTTTGGAGCAAATTCTGGCCCCCACACCACATTCCCTCTCCCTTTGTGTCTCAGTTTCTTTCTTTCTTCCTTTTAAAATATTTTTTTAATTCATATTGGGGGGGGCAGAGGGAGAGAGAATCTCAAGTGGACTCACCACCAAGCATGGCGTCAATGCAGGGCTCGATCCCATGACTCTGAGATTATGACTTGAGCTGGATGCTCAATGGACTGAGCCACTCAAGCACCCCTCATGACTCAGTTTCTCATGAGAAATTCCTAACACGTCAAGAACTTTGCTCATGCCCTTCCCCTGGCCTGGCATGGCCTCCCTCCCTCCCTCCTGAACACCTTCCATTCCTCAGAACTTCTGGGATCTTCTGCCTCTATGAAGCAGCCAGTAGGCTCACACTAGCTGGGGCTGGGCCTTCTTGCCCCCAGAATGTTCTCTGAGCCACTGACTTGGGCCTGATGTTAATTAGGCTCTGAACTCTCCTCTCTCTTTCCCAGGGAGATCCCAAGTACCTGGAGATCAGGGCCTCGTCTTGGGCCTATCCCAGTGCTTACCACGGAGCACAGGACTTGGGCTGGCCATGAACAAGTGATGGCAGGCCACATGCCATCACAAATGGAATAGGCCAGATTTTCTGTCTACGTGTGACTTCTTTATTTAGACTTAGTCTTTTAATAAAGACAAAGTCTTTATTTAGACTTAGTGCCCAGAAGGAACAGGATTTTACGTTTTCCTCTTTATATCCCACCACCATCACCTCCACCACCACCTGCTGCCACTCCAGATATACCACCTTACAGAGATTTTTGGCAAATGAAAAAAATGCCATAGATTTTTATTTTGTTTATGGTTTCCTTTTTATTGGAGTTCAATTTGCCAACATATAGCATAACACCCAGTGCTCATCCCATCAAGTGCCCCCCTCAGTGCCTGTCACCCAGTCACCCCCACCCCCCACCCTCCTCCCCTTCCACCACCCCTTGTTCGTTTCCCAGAGTTAGGAGTCTCTCATGTTCTGTCTCCCTCACTGATATTTTCACTCATTTTTCTCTCCTTTCCCCTTTATTCCCTTTCACTATTTTTTATATTCCCCAAATGCATGAGACCATATAATGTTTGTCCTTCTCCGATTGACTTACTTCACTCAACATAATACCCTCCAGTTCCATCGAAGTGGAGCAAATGGTGGGTATTTGTCACGTCGAAGCAAATGGTGGGTATTTGTCATTTCTGATGGCTGAGGAATATTCCATTGTATACATAGACCACATCTTCTTTATCCATTCATCTTTCGATGGACACCGAGGCTCCTTCCACAGTTTGGCTATTGTGGACATTGCTGCTATCAACATCGGGGTGCAGGTGTCCTGGCGTTTCACTGCATCTGTGTATCTTTGGGGTAAATCCCCAGCAGTGCAATTGCTGGTTCATAGGGCAGATCTATTTTTAACTATTTGAAGAACTTCCACACAGTTTTCCCGAGTGGCTGCACCAGTTCACATTCCCACCAACAGTGCAGGAGGGTTCCCCTTTCCCTGCATCCTCTCCAACATTTGTTGTTTCCTGCCTTGTTAATGTTCCCCATTCTCACTGATGTGAGGTGGTATCTCATTGTGGTTTTGATTTGTATTTCCCTGATGGCCAGTGATGCAGAGCATTTTCTCATGTGCATGTTGGCCATGTCTATGTCTTCCTCCGTGAGATTTCTGTTCATGTCTTTTGCCCATTTCATGATTGGATTGTTTGTTTCTTTGCTGTTGAGTTTAATAAGTTCTTTATAGATCTTGATACTAGCCCTTTATCTGATACGTCATTTGCAAATATCTTCTCCCATTCTGTAGGTTGTCAGATTTCAGGTTGTACTACAAAGCTGTGGTCATCAAGACAGTGTGGTACTGGCACAAAAACAGACACATAGATCAATGGAACAGAATAGAGAATCCAGAAGTGGACCCTCAACTTTATGGTCAACTTAATATTCAACAAAGGAGGAAAGACGATCCACTGGAAGAAAGACAGTCTCTTCAATAAATGGTGCTGGGAAAATTGGACATCCACATGCAGAAGAATGAAACTAGACCACTCTCTTGCACCAGACACAAAGATAAACTCAAAATGGATGAAAGATCTAAATGTGAGACAAGATTCCATCAAAATCCTAGAGGAGAACACAGGCAACACCCTTTTTGAACTTGGCCACAGTAACTTCTTGCAAGATTCATCCACGAAGGCAAGAGAAACAAAAGCAAAAATGAACTATTGGGACTTCATCAAGATAAGAAGCTTCCGCACAGCAAAGGATACAGTCAACAAAACTAGAAGACAACCTACAGAATGGGAGAAGGTGTTCGCAAATGACGTAGATTTTTAAATACAGAGGTGGCGTCTGGGAAATTACACTCAGAAAGGAATCCTGTTTGTTGATGTCTCGTGGAAATTAAATAAAAGGAAACCTTGAGTTTTTTTCAGTGTATAGTTTAAATGGAGTAGTTTAAAGTGGAGTCGGGAGACCAGCAGGAGGAGCTCTCACACCCCACCGCTGGGCGGACTCAATAGGAGCCCCACACCCTGCAAGTGCCACACTCCTGTAGCTGCTATTTCGCTGCCCCGGTGGGAGGAAGGAAGGTTTCATCCTCTCCCACGACAGCCCAGTCAATGACAGTCACGGCTCCGCCAATGAAGAGCCACTGTCCTTCTAACTCCCGGTTTGCCCCAAAGGACTTTCTGGTTTCTGTAACCGCCCTCCCAGTGTCCCCCCCTTCCCTCTGGAGGGGAGCTCTTATCTCTCCTTGGTTCCTTGGACCCGCCTCTGGACTTGTCTGTGGTTTTGCCACAACTTGCTTATCTTGAACTGCAATTCCCTGCTATTTCCAAATAAGCCCATTTCTGCTGGTAAAATAGCTGGCAGCTTCATCTGGAAGGTTAACATGCTCTGGAAAGAGGTCTCGATGTGTCAGCAGAACCTAGGGCTCGGAAGATGAAAAAATGGGGGGGGGATAAAAGAACCTATAGAATGGTCAGATCGGTATTTGTACACCTGAAACGAACATAACGCTGGATGCCACCTATACTCCAACTACAAAAGAATCTAGGGCTAGACAGTCAAACTGTGTTGGCCTCCAAGGCACAGCCCACGACTTCTTCATCTCAGTATACCAGATGCCTAACGCAATGCCTGGCACAAAAATGGGAGTTCAGTGTTTGTCGAATGACTAGCTGACTGTGAAAGGGATGAAAGCAGGATTCAAAGGCAGTGTCCACAGCAGAGGTTCTGGATAAGCAGGATTTCCCACAACCCTTGCTATCTGGAGAAGAACCCCAGGAAATTCCAAACCACCAATGTATGTCTTCAACTCCAGCTTCATAGATAGAAAACCATGCAAACCCCAGAGTCATTTTGATGAAGGTTTTGAGCTTGTACGAAAACTCTCACAAACAAAACAGAAGAAATACTCCCCTGGATGGGGCAGAGATGCATTTTAAACCAACTGTGAGTGCTTTGATAGCCACAGAAGAAAGTGCTTCGGGGACACAACGGAGAGGACAGTTGGTCCCACAGGGCTGAGGTGGTTTTGTGCCGGGAGGGTCAGGTGAGTTTGGAGTCCATCCCCCAGTTGAAGATACTGAGTATTAAAGCAGCTGCTTTGGCAGATCAAGCCTGAGCTTTCCTGCTGGACTGAGAGGGCCCTCCCGGACCCGGCGGGCCTGACCTCTGGGTCAAGCATCCGAGGCACCAGCTGAAGTGGAGATTGGTAGCTCCCCCAAGGTCCCAGCAGAAGGCCTAATGCCTCAAGCCAGGCACTCAGCAAAGGTCGAAGAGGGAAGCATTCCAGAATAATGCAGGGACGGTGGCCAGACGCCGCTGATGTTGGCCTTCACTTCCTATTTGAAGGAGGGAATGGATTTTACCCCAAACCTACCCCCCAAAGGGTACCTGGTAGCCCTTGCCCCTCATTACTATTACTCTATAAGGCAGCCTGTAGAAGTCGGGTGCTGTTTTGCAAATAAATTGTAGCCAAAATACCAAAATCAGAGAGTGATTGCTATTCCTTTCTTTTTATTATTTATTTATTTATTTAAATATAAATCCAGGGGATCTAGGTCATTCCTGTAACAATGTTGTTTTTCTGGCCTGGAGATAAATGAGAGTGGCTTGAAATCCTGCCCTGTGAAATGTACACTGGGAGTGTGCCAGGCATGTGAATATCACCCGCTGTGCATGTCGGGAGGGAAAGAAGACTGAGAACCCTTACCTCACAGAGTCATCCCCTCAAAGCAGGGGTCAAACATGAAGTACATGCCCATTGGCTCATTGCCACAGATGTGCCCTCAATACCCCAACCAGAGAATGCCCAGTCATACAATACCCAATAGCAGTTACCATATATGAGAACCCACTATGTGCCGGGCACTGCACTGGACCCTTTACCCTCATTGGTTTACAATCATTGGTTCCTCACCACTGCTCCAAAAGAAGACATTGTTAACCCCATTAGGGGCAGGGAATGGTTCTTGGGGAGATCCAAGAGACTCCCTAAAATCCCATACCTCGTAAGTGGTAGAGCACAACCCCCCAAACAAGGTCTAACTTTATGCTTGTTTGACTGATATATACCTCTCTATGTCTATGTATCTGTGTATTCATCCCTCCCACCATCCCTCCCTCCATCCATCCATCCCTCCATCTATTCCTCCATCCCTCCCTCCCTCCATCCTTCCATCCATCCATTCCTCCAACCATCCATCATCCCTCCCTCCATCCATCCATCCCTCCATACATCCATTCTCCATCCATCTATCCCTCCCTCCATCCATCCCTCTGTTCATTCATCCCTCTATCCCTCAGTCCTTCCCTCCATTCCTCCA